ATGGAGGATCTTGAGATTACTTCCCTCTTCCAGGTCATCAGACGGGAGAGAAGTCAACTCGTTACCGGAAAGGTAGAGTTCAGAAATCATTGGCCATCTCTTAAGAATTCCTTGAGGCAGTTCCGTCAGGTCATTGTAGGACAGATTAACAACGCGCAGCTCAGGGAGCAAAGACAATTCTCGGAAAACATCATCTTCAAGTCTGTTGTCAGCAAGGGAGAGTGTTCGAAGAGATGCAGCGAATGTCATTGCCATCTGCTGGGAGAAATTCGAGTCCTTCCGAGAGGCGGAATTTGGATCTGTGAATGAGCGCGACGCAGCCGATACCTTTCTATCACCACCTTGCTGTGAAACAGAAGTCGCGGTGGAAGGATTCCGATGTGACCCATTGGGTGAAACGGAGTTCATAACACCATTACCATTGGAGGCTTGACTAGGTCGACGCAGATCTGGTTCGTCCAGTGGCCCAATGTCCTCATAGTTGGGGCTGCCTGGGATACCCGGTGTAGTCGTGGGTGTGGGGGCGGGCTCACCAGGCACCAAGGGCGGCGAAGCACCATACTTGGGGAATGTGGACAAGATGTTCGAAGAGATATTGAGCACTTCTAGCTTCGCACAATGCCAAATCTCTGATGGGAGAGACGTCAAATTGCATTCTCTCAGATTCAGGTGCTTGAGTTCCACGAGGCAACCGATGGTTGCAGGCAAAGAAGCAAGAGGGTTTTTGATCATGCTGAAATGTTCCAGTCGGCGCAATTTGCCAACCTGGGGCGAGACGGAAGAGAGGTGGTTTTTATCGAGAACGAGCTTGGTCACATTAGGGCAGTTTTCGAATATGGTGTCCCGGAACTGTGCAAGCTTGCCGGATGCAAGGTTGAGAGATGTCAATGTCGGCATGGGAGCATCAACATCAAAGTGTGTCAGAGGGCAGTGGTCCAGATGTAAACTGCGCAATTTTGGGAACGAGCACTTGAAGCGCGATATTAGGTTGTGACCGAAGGAGACCTGCTCCAGCCGTGGGAGAGAAGAGAGATTATCGATATTGGTGATGGCATTGAAGCGAGCATCCAGTTCCTTGAGGTTCACCAAGTCCCGGAAGGACTCATCCAGAGACCCACTGAGGTTGTTATTTGTGATCCACAGGCGTTCGAGGGTCACCAAGCGGCCAATGTTGGGTAGTTCTTCGATGCCATTGAAGCTGATATCGAGATCAACTAGACTCTTCAAGTTGCAGATGAACTCGGGGAAGACCTTGAATCCGTTTGATGACATAGTCAAGCTTCGCAGGGCATGGAAGTTTGCGAAATAGCTGGGCAACTCGGTCAATCGGTTGTTGGCCATCTTGATGCTTACAAGACCGGTCAGCCGATCGAGATGTGCGTGACTCAGTTCCTCCAAACAGTTGTTGGAAATATCCAAGTATGTCAGCCGGCCTGCCAGACTGAAACTTTGTGGGAGCTGCGAGGCTTCATTTCCGATGAACTTGATCTCCCGCAGATTAATGCAGCTTTGAATGAAGTCTTTCGGAACATCCAATGACAAGTTCCTCGATAAATTCAGCGAGATGATTTCGGAGGATTTAGCGTATAGCGTAATCGGAATTGTGACAAGGCTGCGGCCCTGGAGGTCCACATGGCTGAACTTTTGCACCTTGTTGAATCCGGGGTCACTCTCAAGACTGCTGTAGCCGCTAAGTTTAGTCGGCAGGAAAATGAACCGACAGAGATAACTGTGGTCTTCACGGCCAATATCCTCAATCCGGTCCTTGTCCGTGTAACCAACTTGTTCGAGTAGTCGCTTCTGCATCTGGATTGGCCGTTCATTGTGATCAAGCTGCCGTGAAAGGTCGTTCTTTCGTAGAACAATCTCGTAATTGTTGAGGTGATCCTGCAAGAAAGATTTCCGACCAAGCATCAAGAGAATCTCAGATACAGTCGCGTTAACACCAGCTGATAGCGTGGCGAAGGTTGAATCGATCCGGAAGATTCGAATGAAGAACGAGACTTCACGCTCGCGAGGGCCGAAATAGCCTTGGTCCACGGTAAGGTCAGCCGGTCCCCTGACATGCCAGCTGTCTGGGGCATTCCATGGCTTTTCAGTTGCATTTTCATCACGCGGTGTGGTCATCCCATCGACTCCACGCTTCATAGTGTTTGGCGAAGCTGAACGAACGATTCCCTTCAAATCACCCATATCGACGTCAAGTGGGAAGAAATGCTTGTTCTCTTGATTCCTGTCATCTTTGTTGGTGCTGTGAGAGTCGCCACCTTGATTGGTAAAGACACGACGAGGACCGAGTTTTCGTCCTGTAATAAGGCCCTTACCGGACTCTTTCTTCCGGTCGGAGTCTGTCGATTCCACATGACGAGAAGGCGTGTTCCCTTCAATACTTCCCTGCCTACCCCTTTTAGGAGGAGGAGAAGAGGTCCTCGACTTGTCGTGCGGTTTCGATCCATGGCCGAAAACCCTTTTGATGAAACCACCAATTCTGGGGTGTCCTGAGTTCTGATCGTTGTCGCGATCACGGTATGCACTTCGGACGCTGGGAGTTGGACTTGTAGATCGGCCACCGAGTGTCGACGATGATGCTAAGTAGTTCTCGTTAAACGGACGTAAGGAAATATCATCTGTGCCCGTAGCCGGCCGATTTTGATAGCCGGCTAGGTCACCAGCAAGAGTCGGCTTCTCGTCTTTGCTTCGCGAAGGACGATGCCTGCCGTGTCCTCGCCGGCTGGAGTTGCCCCCTGAAGCACCGATATCAGGAGGATCAAGACGCTCCCCATTGGGTCCGATTGGAACGTGACGCACTGGCGCTTCTCCATACTGTGAAACATCATTGATGCTCTGATAGTCCCATGGAGTGATGTCACTTGAGGGCAAAGGCGTAGCTGCTCGTGGCCTTTGAGGACGGTGTGATCCAGAGCCATCGGGTGGCCGGGAACCATCCGAGTTCGCTCGCTCTCGCGCCTTCAGCTGATCGACTAGCCCGCCACGCTTACTGGGCGGATTTTGGGAACCATCGTCGGTAGCCTCGCGCTCTCCAGGCGAGGGATAGTCATCCCCGAGTAGACCTTTCAAATGCTTCTTCCGAAGCTTCTGACTGATGCTAGATCTCGAACCCGAGCTACTCACAGTGGTTGCGCTCGCAGCAGATGGCCGTCGCGGTTCTCCATGGTATTCAAACTCGGCAGGTTCGCTGGCGATTGTCCGTCCAGTCATGGGACGAAACGAGAACGACGCAGGGGAAGCTTCATGTTCGGAGTAGTCGTTGTAAAACGTGCCGGGAGCATCGGGGGGTCCACTTCCTGGACCTGTACTCCATGGGGCGATCGACTCGATATCATCGGAGGCAAGGCGAGACGCGTTGAGAGGTGGAGGTCGGGGACTCGTGGAGGAGGATTGAGACGGACCGTCTTGATTACTGGGTACAGATAAAGCCTCGCGATGGTCGCTGAAGCCGGAAGCCTTGCGCTGTTCGGTAGGGGAGATTTCGGGGGAGTTCCATGACCACAGATTTGTCCCCCAGTTAATCTGTGGGGGTCTCGAAGGGTCCGATCTAGCAAAAAATCAATGAGCTCCTTCTTTCAAAGCTTGGAGATAATTCCCCGTGGTGCTGAAAAAATCCCGCGGGGTATCTCAAAGGGTGGAGGAGCTTACTTGGTGTCCATTGTCAAAGAACCAGGGAAAGGGTCGGCATTGCGATTACCAGCAGAGGGTTTGCTCGGATCGCCAGGTTGGTTCTCGGGATGCCGCACAGTCTCCTGTGATATCCAACTGTTACCAGAGCTCCCCGAACCCTGGCGATTCTCGGAATGGGGGCGCTCCCGCACCGGCATGGCGGCTCTGTGATTCGGCCGATTCCCACCGCGGCCCTGATCAAGTTGCAGCCAGCTGTATCTTGGGTTGTATGAGAATCCCGGAGCAGTTCAGCATGAATGACGCTGATGATGCCCGGGAGGTGTGGAGGATCGGAGCTGCAACGTGTATCGATTCTGCTGTCTCGAGTACTGGCGCTGTGCGGAGGTCGTCTCCGGCGACGCGGTAATAGGTTCAAAAGCTGTAAGGAAGCGTGGAGGGCATTCGGGGATCGTGGAGTTGTAGAGATCGACGGGGGATGACAGCGTGGGTTCGGGTTCGGGCGGGGCGCAAGGAGACGCCTGAAAAGCCGTGACCAGCGCAAGTCGAGAGGGTGAAATAGGGCAAATTAGATGAGATGGGTGGGCAAATCAAGGGTAACCCGGGCGCATGCAGGGAAGTACAGTATCTCGAGGTCCAGGATTGAGTGGGGATGACAAAGGCGGGAGAAATCGTTGGTCCCGACGTGATGAAAGAACCTTCTCTGAAACCTCCTCTTTCTTTATTTCTTCTCCTTCTATTTCTATGCTTTTTGCTTTGTATACTTTTTACACTTCTTATATCAATTATATTTCTTACATTTTCTATACTCTGGGGATGGTCCGTGATGCTGTCCGTGCCCAGAAGTTGACCTGTGGAGCTCCCAAGTATGATATATGACACTTAACATCTGCATTCTTGATCCATTGGCTGCCTTGACTTCAGGCTGTAACCATCCCTGCAGATAACTAGTTGCTAGTTAGTCTAGCTCAGCTCAGCTGCTCAAACGCCCAGATCTCACGTGTAACGGGTGTATACTCCTTTCTGCTTGAAATCCCGAACATGACAGATCATACAAAGAACCCTTCCACGGCTAATTCCTCCCTTGTGGCGGTGAAAGGGCTTCTGCTTCTGCTATCGTTTGCACCTCGATCTGAGCTCCTTTATCCATTTCTACTCAGCCACTATGCAAGGATACTGGAAGAGAGAATGTCCATTTCGATATAGTAGTCTCTGGTTTCCCCTACTCCACATACAGTATTGCCATAATGATACATAGTAAAACCAGTGACCTAGACCGGCCCTTTTCCCCTGCAATTACCGTTCGCATCATTCCGTCACGCATCATTCCATCATGTCGTCAATTTGCGTAAGTCCTCTGTCAATCAAACTCGGGGCTGGGCGAAGACTCTCTCAACATCATCAACAACCTCATTCCAGAGCTCCTGTCCGAAGTGGCGACCAGCTTCTCCCGCCAGGAACGGCGCACCCCTATTTTCAATTAGTATCATGGCCTCATGGCAAGGAAAGCAAGCCCATACTGATCCATTAGACTGTTCTGAACAAACAAACCGTGACTCTCATTACCAACAACCACAGCAGCCTTGACAATAATCCGACCACCCTCGTGCAAAGTCCGTCTGTACACCTTGGTGTAAGCCCACATAAAAGGCTTGAACCAAAGGGGCGCAGTCTGGTTCAGGTTGGTCTGAACCACACCAGGGCAAACATTGTTGATGATGACTTCAGTAGAGGACGTGATACGAGCCAGCTGCTGCACAAAAGCGTTGACCACAAATTTGCTATCCTGGTATCGTCTGAAACGGCGAAAGATGGTCTTGTCGTCGTAGTAATCCATGATGCTCTGGCTAGCGGGAATTGGGATCTCCTCGAAACTGTGCTGGTCCTGGCTGTAGGAACCCACGAAGGTGATGCGGCTCGGGGTATAGTATTTCTTGGAAGTCTTGCGTAGCAGGGACATCAGGGTGAGTACGATGAGGAAGTGGGTGTAGCAGTTGACTGGTTTGTTGTTAGGTCTGATTTCCTGTAGGGCTGTTGACTTACCTTGCATGATCTTCTCATGGCCGGTCTTGCTGGTTTGATACTCAAAGATATTGATACCGGCGTTCAAGACCAGGATATGGAGCTCACGGATTTCCGCGTTAACCTTTCGGGTAAACAGGACACCGGACTGGTAGTCATCGAGGTTCAACAGAAAGAACTCGATCTTGGGCTCGGTTTCGTCTTGGTAGCTGGCCGCGATAACTTCCGGGTCAGACTTGAGGGCAGCCACTGCGGCTCTGCCCTTGGCCTCGTCGCGTGCGGTGATGATCAAGCGGGAAACATTTAGCAGCAGGAACTGCCTGGCAACTTCGAAACCAAGGCCCTTGTTGCCACCGGTGACAAGTGCTGTCTTGCCAGCCAGGCTGGTGCCCTCGGGCGTCAGAGGAATGTCCTCGGGCATAGTGACGAGGATGAGATTGATTGTTATGACGGCAGTCAGCAGGCTGAGACAAAAGAAGCTTGTGAGAGTCCCGCGCAGGGATATCCAAGGTAGCGGGAAAGCCAAGGTAAGCTCTTGGTTTTCGGAATCACAGCAATGCATTGTTTCATGGATTCTCGTGAGCTCAAACTTGATGTGAAATATTAGCCCTATGCCCCGATGAACCTACCTGGGCCGGACAGCTTGACTCTTCCGGCCCTCACCAAAGCACAAAAAAGGTTGTCACTCACTAATTAAATGATATCGTCACATTCGTTCATGAGATATCTGACTCCCCATGTATCTCTTCTACTATAACGAAGATTGAAGTGAGCTGAAAGATATCCCTGATGAACCTGTGGACCCCTTATATCAAAGCCATTATCACTTCTCATTCATAGCTTTTTACAATGTATTAGGAGCTTAAGCTATCCCTGATAGGAACTAAATCGGATCAACACCACCAAAAGGCGCGAACAAGACGTATGTCGCAATTGGGTGGGCGTGCTGCTGTGGTATGCATTTCCATACTATTTGCTTTTTATATCAGTATATAAGGACTGATACTATTTGGTAAGCCCGATGACACTCACCTGCACATTCATCTGTTAAAATGTATTGATCTTATCTGTGGTATTTGCAACCAACTGGCGTACTTGTGAATCCCTGCGTTCCTTGATGCTTAACTTTGTTAATTATTTTCTTCCATGAAAGTACGTTGCTATTTGCGGACGACCAAGCAAAGCTTCTTTATCGCCTAAACTCTCAGAGCTTGGATACGGTGCCTTCAGGCTGTTCTTCGCGTCGGATTTCCGGTGCTATACGTGAGAGGGCGGGAAAAAAAATCCGCTAGGACAAGCATCTCTCTACCATTTGAGGACAACGGAGATCTCATGCCAATTATCTGGTATGCCTCTGGGTCTCTGCAATGACATCATCATAGCTTATATATAGCGCCGGTCTCTTTATATGAATCGCCCACTAAAGAAATCGGCGGTTGAATTTACCTGAGCAGTAGTCTAGGCCAGCCGGACACAACTATATACTATGGAATCGGTACTGTTGAGCACTTAAATCGTGCGTCTATCCAAGGTCATATTTCGGACATGTAATAAGTTAACTTAAGTTAAAGTTAACTTATTTATGGAGTGTACATGTGCAGCAGGCAGGGATAATACTGCCGCTCGCCTTTAGCTAACAGCTTGTCGGGAGGCCGGAAAGAGGGAATACCTGTGAATATAATCTTGTGACACCTTTAATGGCAGGGGTACATGAGTGAGTACCTAAGGTTAGATTCAAGACGGAGATGGTATAGATGCAAGTGGGTCCGTTACTTCATAGGGACATGTGATTGGGTGACCCGTCCCCTGAGGGCATGACCAAATATATAGAGTACAGGGTATATAACAAGGCCAATCAGGCTCAGAACTCAACAAGACGCAAAAGGAATTAAGACAGTTCGAAACTTCCTCAAAGATGGCCAAAAATGGTGTACAGTAAAAAGTGACCCAAAAGTGGGTCCGAAGTTGGCTGGTGGAGTGATTCTCTTAGGAAACTGTACGGTGTATATGAGTCATGTTAGTGAACATAGTTTGCCTAGAGTAGAGTAGAGCAGAGTAGATTATTGATGGTAGTCCAATGTGATATATTGATATCTTCACTGCAGCCCGGATTTCAATGACACGTGAGATAGTCTGTTATTTTGGGTCAGGTGACACAGAACACTCGATGTATGAGATACATTCCTGACTTCATCAGATGATGCATTACAATTTCAAAGTCCAAGAAATCCAAGGAAGATCTAAGGAAGCTCCAAGAAAAGGCGGCAGAGCCCAAACACGAAACGAGGCACAAAAGTCGGGCGTTCTCCACCCCCAGCCACTTCCATTTGTGATATAATTAGAGCCATTGCACCTTCCCTCCGATAGGTCGCTCATTTCTACCTTCTTCTTCTTCCTCCCCTTTTCTTTCTTCCTCCTACACCTGTTACAATTATCTCTTCTAAGCGTGAATTTCTTTTACCTTACTGGATACCTGTACCCAAAGCTCGCATACATTCTACCTTCGCCATGCGGTTTGCTCTTGCGGCCTTGGGCCTGTTGTCGTCCACGGTGTTGGTGACAGCCCAGACATACACTGACTGCAACCCGACCCAAAAATGTAAGTGCAGTCCAGTATCAACGTCAGCAAGGTACTAACAGTCATCAGCGTGCCCCGCTGATCCCGCATTTGGGCAGTCTGACAAGACTTTCGACTTTACAAGTGGTGCCTCGAACGCCTTCAAGTCGACAGGGGCCGTCACATATGATGAGACAAATGGTGCAACTTTTACGATCTCCAAACAGGGGGATGGCCCGCTGATCCAGTCCGGCTGGTACATCATGTTCGGCCGTGTGGAGTTCACTATCAAGGTCGCCTCAGGAACCGGTATCGTGAGCAGCGCAGTTCTGCAGTCCGATGATCTGGATGAACTTGACTGGGAATGGCTTGGCGGCAAGAGCACCGAGGTGCAGTCCAACTACTTTGGCAAAGGAGATACTAGCTCCTACAACCGTGGCGCTTTCCACTCCAACCCAGGCAATCAAGACAGCTTCCACACCTACTCCATTGACTGGACCAGCAGCCAGATTGTGTGGGCAATCGATGGCGAGACTGTTCGGGCCATCACTCCTGAGTCGGCAGACGCAAACCAGTACCCTCAGACTCCTATGATGGTCAAGGTCGGCGTGTGGGCTGGTGGTGACTCGAACAACGCACAGGGTACCATTGGTAAGTAATTCGTGACCTCCAATTTTAGGTGTGTTGCTAACAGTTGTGCTTTTGCAGACTGGGCTGGTGGCCAAACGGATTACAGCCAGGGTCCCTTCAAGATGTACCTGAAAAAGATGACTGTGACCGACTACTCCACTGGAACTTCATACAAATACGGTGACACGAGTGGTTCATGGCAGTCCATCATTTCTGAAGGAGGCAAGATCAATGGCAATAGTGGTGCGGAGCCCTCGTCTACTCAGTCTGCACCCAGCATCACCGCTACTGCAGACGGTGCCCCAGTTCCTTGGAGCGGAACACACAAAGAGACCTCGAGCTGGGTCACCCCTAATGTCTGGCCTTGGGTGGCTAGTGACTCTCCGACTGCCTCGTCAACGGGCTATCAGTATGACTGGGAGTCGCGCTCCAGTCGCATCCAGGCACCAGGCGGCGCCACCAGTGAGAATTCCCACACACCTGTCAGCCCTGTTTTGCAATCAACCACTAAGACCGCATCTTTCTCTCCACAGTCTACCTTCCGCTTTACATTTGCACTCTCGCATTCTTCTTCGGTTGCCTTTTCCCGCTCTGGCATTGAGACTATTCAGAGAAACACCACTCGAATAGCCACGAAAACCAGCACTTCGACTAAATCGAAATCTACTATGACTACCACCAACAAGCCAACTGGCAACATTGCTGCTAATCCCACGGCCACGGCCACGCCTTCTGGTCCTCGTGCTACACCAACGATGAGTAGTACGAGTGCCCGATCCAAGGTTCCGGTCTTTGCAGGTGTCTTTTGCGCCCTGTTTGTTGGTGTTATTCCATTGCTTTGAACACATCCACATTTGTATTATTATTCATGATTAGACGGACCCGGCGTTGACTCATTTTTATTGGACATGACGCATGAGCGATGATCTTTGGCGGTTCTGACAGAAGAACCGCAGCATACGGGCACTTATAGGCAAGTTGCCTTTTTTTGTTTATGCTTTATTATTATGACGCACACCTGTACCATTGGAAACCCCAATTGGTGACAGATGTGACCTGCACATGTTATGATTCTTCATGTATTGATACCTTTCTGGGCTACCACTTATATACCATTCGTTACTCAAAAGAACAACCTTTTCATGGAAGGTTCCCATGACAGATCGATATAATCAGCTTCATTCCTGGAATGTAGAAACTTGATCTTAAGCTGACTGTTGTAAATAAAGAATGCACTGGCTTCTTGTAGAATTGTAAAGCAATAACCAGGCATGTGTACTCGAGCGCATTCATCTCGTCAAGCCTGGAGTATATACTAACTATACGCGCCCCCCATACGATATAATTTCCCATGACCAAGCCTGGGAAGATTTATCATGGTCATCAAATCCTTTCATATTTCCAACCCCGCAAAACCCATCGGTCCTTCAAACCCTGTGAAGGCCGCGAAGGGCGTTCCTCAGCGCCAGATAGCGATACCCAGACCTTGCTTTATCTCAGAAGCTAGATAGGGTGTATCAGAATAGTGTTCATAGTTCATTACCACGCTGTCGGGTTCCTGAATGCGGGAAAATGATATTCGAGATCACCGCGTGCAAATCTTATAGTTTAGCAATAGAGAACCTTCAATCTTTAAGCTCTAGGTTGCGGGTCTGGAGGATCATGACACATGGACATGCGCTTATAGAACATGATTGGAGGTCAAAAGTTGACATTGAAAGCAGTAATCAATACATGTAAAGCTGGGATTGTAGGCTGATGTCGAACACCTCCAAGCTAACCGCTGCTGGGACTCAATTGAAGGATTATTTAGTAACAGGCAAGTTCCGTAAAAACAAAAGTGCATGTATCATTTAGGGATGGGGCCGTTTGCTAAGATCTCTGCCGTCTACAAGGAGTACTTGTTTTCTCTCTTCTGCGGCGACTCAGGAGTCATGGTACTGTTTCAATGTTTTCCCTCTCACTGAATTCGTCTATCGCATGGCTTTATCCAAAGTCGACAGAAATAGCGAGATACGGCTGTGGACCTTTCGACTGGAAATCAACATCGGTCCAAATAAACAAAGATATCTCCCTTAGTATGCCCCAATTGTCCACGGTTAGGATTTGATACCATCCATTTGGCAGAATTCGGACTGGTAACCAATCTGCAACAAGAATACTTCAAAACATGCTTAGTCACTAACTACTCTTCCCCAGTTCCAAGGGCCCATGGGGTTCTAGGGCTCAAATAAGCTATTCCGATTGTCCAATCATCATCCACCTGGTGGGGCAGAATCGGATTACTCATTACTCCGACTCGCTCGGCCTGATGAATAAACGTAAATAATTCGCCCCGCGCGCCATTTGTAACCCTGCTTTCTTTCTCCGACCTCTTCATTGCACATCCATGACATTGGGAGTTCTACAAGCATGAATACAACTGAGAAAATGCCAGTAATGGAAGACAAGCCGAAGCCGAGCGTTGGCCGGAAACGCGGTCGGCCTCGAACTGTGACGGATGATCAAGAAGTGCCAGAAGTGGGTCAGATCGCAAGCTTCCATGGTGCTCGAGCTCACAAATAGCAGAGACGTCGCAAACAATTACGCCTAGCGCAACAAGCGTATCGCAAACGAAAGGAGAATACGATCGGCACTTTACAGAACCGCGTACACGAACTAGAGAATGGCATCGAGAGTCTGGGCCAATCGTTCCTCTCTTTTAGTAGTATTCTCTTAGAAGAGCAGCTACTTTCGCAATACCCACAAATTGCCGTGGCCCTACAGAACATCACTCAGCAATGCGTGTCCCTTGCAAAGTCCGGAAGCGATGAGTTGGTGGAGGGCGCTCTGGTCCGACCTACAATAGCAAAGGATGCTCCAGTCAAGACCTCCACTACCCCAGATAATGATACACGGCAGGTCTCGCTATTTGATATCCCCACATCAGACACCTCGACAGATGTCGAGGATATTATCCGGTCGGCAGTAAAAAGCTGGCCTGGACCTCCTACCCCACCATATCAATATCAAGACCAAGACGTCCTACCATTCGGCATCGTCATGTCGCCATCCACGGATCCATTTTCCTATACACCGTCACTGTCGAGCTCTTCATCAACAGATGAAACGAACCCCAATGCAATATTACTAGACCATCACTGGACTATCGCACAACGTCTAGTCCGGACGTGCTGTCATACGGGATATCGCCTCCTCGTCGACCAACCAAATCACGATAGAATCCCGGAGATATTCGGATCTGCGCTTAGCACGGCTGAACGCAATCGTCTCATTTCAGGTTTCTACGCTGTCACGCAGGACAAGACTGGTGCCGTAACAGATGTCAAAGCCAATGTGCTCAGCCTTTTGCGGGCTAGTATAGAGAACTTCTCGGAGGGACAACTGCAGCTGTCGTCTAGGGTCTTGCAGATTGCGCTTGAGTCGGCGTCTGGTTCTTGGATGGATGCAAATGGGGTACAAAAGTACTTACGGGAGAAGAGATACATTGTTGATGACTTCTCGGGTTCTTCTGGTCGTCTTGGTTATTCTGTCTCGCCGTCACTTGATCTACCAGCCTTTATTAAGGGTGAGTTTGCTGATACGAATTGTTCTTTTGGCGTCTGCTAATATATTACAGTCCTCTCGGGTGAAGCGGTATGTGTTGGATATGGCCCGACGTTCCGACGGCAAAGCGTGGAAAAGGCTCTGCATACGGCCACTCTTAATGGGTCCTGGGGGTTTGATAATATTTGTGACATTTAATGACGCTTTAATCTGTAATACAATAATAAAAATATGAACTAATGACAACGCAGAGGATACAATTACAATTTACAAGGTTGCAAGTAAACATTTGGTTTGAAAGAAGTTCAAGTGATGTGACAAGCCACAAGTGGGCCAACTGCAGTGTTGCAATCCATGCAAAGCTGTTAGATCTACACAACCCCAACTGCTATTGCTACCTAGATACAATGGTAGCCTAGGTACAATGGCAGTGTAACTATACTTGCATGTCCCGTGTCCACGCCCTTTGACATGTGGAGCTTCGGCTACGAGAGTCATTGGCTGTGAGTCATCTGTCGTTCGATCCCCTCAATCTTTTTACATGTATCTTTTCCAAGGTTGGTTGATGATTGACACCTGAGTCATAACTTCATTTTTGGGCGCATATAAATTGGGTGTAATCCGTCAAGTCGTGAATATCGCGACGATACATTCTTCATCCCCATCCTTCCCCACAGCAACATCATGGGTTCAACAGGTCAATTAACGCCCTTCGGCAAACCAATGCTGAAGCATTGGCTATTTGACCCAGCCTATAAGAACCTCAATCATGGATCATTTGGCGCTCACCCTGCACCAGTCAAAGAGGTCCAGCGCGCCTTCATGGATCTGGCCGATCAGCAACCTGATCCATATATCCGGCGATACCACGCAGAGCACCTAGACAAAGCCCGAGAAGCTGTCGCAAAGGTGCTAAATGCTCCACGAGACGAGTGCGTATTTGTCAAGAATGCCACTACCGGCGTTGCAACTGTGCTCTACAACCTGGCGTTCCAGCCCGATGAAGCACTCGTCTATTTCGAGCCTGTCTACGGCGCCGTCGAGAAGGGCGTCGTCTCTCTGCAAGAGCATTCCTCCTTCCAGCCCCGGAAAGTGTCGTTCCAATATCCCATTGCTGAAGATGAGCTGGAGCGCCGATTCCGCGAGGTTGTTCGTAAGACCCGCGAGGAGGGTCTCAAGGTCCGGGCTGCTGTCTTCGATTCCATTGTTAGCAACCCCGGTGTGCGTTTCCCATTTGAGCGGTTGACTGCTATCTGTCGTGAAGAAGGCATTCTGAGCATCATTGATGCTGCCCATGGTATTGGACATATCCATCTCGACCTCGAGAAACTACAGCCTGACTTCCTCACGTCGAACTGTCATAAGTATGACCACACTCTCTATCTACACCATATCATATCAAACTAACCAACTCAACCAAGATGGCTCTACACACCCCGCGGCTGTGCAGTCCTCTACGTCCCAAAGCGCAACCAACATTTCCTCCGCACAACACTCCCAACCTCCTGGGGTTTCATCCCAGCGCCGGATTCCCCGGAGACTATCGCATCAGTCCTCCAAGACCCCAACGCGCCCGCAACCAAATCCGCATTCGAGCAACTCTTCGAATTCGTCGCTACAAGCGATGACTCCGCCTACATCTGCCTCCCAGCCGCGCTGAAGTTCCGCGCTGAAGTCTGCGGCGGCGAAGACGCTATCATCTCATATTGTCAAAAGGTCGCAAATGAAGGTGCTGATGCCGTCGCTGCTACACTTGGCACGGATGTTCTCCAAGAACCTGATCTCAAGCCTGGTCAGGAAAGTCGTATGCGTCAGTGTGCTTTGACGACTGTGCGACTTCCTATTGCTGTTGCTTCTGCCGGGGAGGGGGCTGCTGAGTCTTTTGATTATACTCCTCTTGTTGTTTTGTCTGAGGATGAGGCTCGTAGTGCTTTTTCTTGGATTCAGAGTAAGTTGATTGATGAGTATCGTACTTTCCTGCCCGTTTTCCGCCATGGGGCTTGGTTGTGGACTCGTCTGAGTGGACAGGTTTACCTTGAGACCAGTGATTTCGAAGCTGTTGGTGGTTCTCTGAAGGATCTGTGTGAGCGAGTTGCGAAGAAGGAGTTTAAGGCTTGAGCTGGTGCCTTTTGCATGGAATGCTGTTCATTCTACCGTATGACCAGTAATTAGAATCAGTCAATCAAATATAATCGATACATCATGCCTCCAAGAGTACAAGAAAAAGCAAATATCACTCGGGCAAGTATCTTATACTCATTGGATCTAAGTCCCAGCACGCCATCTGGGCGTCTCGGAACCAAATATCACATCAGAAGCGGGGTGTGCATCCCATTTATATACTTCGGTCTCACCCCAAGGTCCCCCGAATTAATCTATCCCAAACATGTCGGTTGCAAAGGAATTCGAAGCGGCCAACGCTAATTACGCGGCATCCTTCACTAAGGGTGACCTACAGCTCCCCCCACAGCGGTAAGTCTATACTACAATACACTACGCGATACACCCTCTGACAAGCATACGGAAAGAGAAAAAGTATCTAAAACAATATCTAAATTCTAGAAAAGTAGCAGTGGTAGCATGCATGGATGCACGCCTTGGTACGTTCTATATCACCTCCCACTGAGCTGAACTATGCACCCAACCACCCCCTAACACCAGAAATATAGATCCAGCCCGCGCCCTAGGCCTCGAAGAAGGCGACGCCCATGTCATCCGCAACGCGGGCGGTAGGGTCTCAGACGCGCTGCGCAGTATCATAATCTCGCAGCAGCTTCTTGGTACTCGGGAGATCATCATCGTGCACCATGTATGTATATGTAACTTAGCTTACACTGTGCATGTGCATATACATCCTGCCATGTCCCCTTGCATCCCTCCTTTCAGTCATCCAGTGGTTCTATTTATAGCTTTTGCTGATCTCTTATTCTCTTTAGACGGATTGTGGGATGCTCACTTTCACTGATGAGGTGATTCGCGGTAAGATCCATGAGGATTTGAAGCAGAATGTTGATCATATTGCATTCTTGCCCTTTGGGGATCTGCGTCAGAGTGTTTTGGATGATATTTTGTTATTGAAGGATAGTCCGCTTGTTTTGGATGTTCCTATTACCGGCTATTTGTATGAGACTGAGACGGGGAGGATTGTTAAGGTTGGGGATAATCAGTGACTGGTTTACAAGCGTGAATGAGGAGGGAGGAATAGGATATAAGTTCTTCGAGATTTCATAGGGGAGATATCACCATAACATTGTGTTATCAAATCAGATGAAGTATGTACATGGTGTATAAAGGCCTAGCCTGAGAAAAGCGGCTTCGCTGAAAAATCATCCATGAACCATGCTCCATCGCATCAAGTGAAAGACATTCGGTAAAGGGGGTATTGGTGAGAAGAGGAAGAGAAGGAGAAAAGAGAAAGAAGAGAAAAAAGACATCGAGTCTTGCCGCTAAAACAAATCAAAGGTCGCACCAAGAAACATATCCCTGGAAAAAGCCAAAAGACGGACTGCGTGCATATCAGATCAAGGTCGCGGTTAATGTTATGTGCTGCTTCCAAATCGATTCATGACCCAGCTAGTAAACCCACCGTTGCTCCCCTCACTTCGGCTAGAGCGGCGAGGAGCATGGTTAGATTCTTGTCCTTCAGGTGTAGGGGAGCGACGGGGTGAAAGTCGTGGGGAGAGTCGACTTTGCAAAGAAGATAAAGAGGAGCGGCCACTGCGTGTAGTTCGAGCTGAACTGAGACGTCGACGAGATCTCGGCTGCTCAGGGCTATCCGGGATGACTACCGGATTGTCACTGGTTCCATCATTATGCCTGAACGGGGCTGTCAGCTGGGTGTTCTGGGTCCGGTCATGTTGTGTTGGTGTCGCGCCACTTACGTTGGACGCTGGTTGATGCTCCGCCGGCAATGCGGGCAGGTGTTATGCTGGATTAGCCATGCCTCGATGCAGGTGAAATGGAACCAGTGCTCGCATGGCAACACAGTGACCTCCGTGCCAAGTTCCACGGCATCCATACAAATAGAACACTCCGCATTGTTCTCCGGGCCCATCATATCCATGTCAACCTTCCTCTTGGGCAAAGACCGAATGGCACTTCCAGAAGCTGGGGGCGGCGCAGTTCCGGGCCCGGTGTTCTCGATTAGGGAAGTGATGACACGGTCCAGCTCCTCTTGTGAGTATACTGCATCTCCGTTTGGAGTCATGTTTAGTAGGGCCGACAGTATAGCAAGAGGGTTTGGCGTTTGGCGATCTCGGCGGGTCGCTCGTGTAGTTGGTGTCCCTAGATCAGCACGGATGGCTTCTATAAGGCTGGGATGCGGGGTTAGTCTGCTAGTTCTTAATACATAAAGAAGAGACACATACTCAGCTAGACCCACTGGCTGATGAGCTCGTGGTTGCGGTGCATCCGCATTGCGAGGGGATAGACCAGGAGATGGAATTGAAGCCGGGCCCGTTTGATGGTCTCCCGCACGCTCGTAATCGGGCCAGCCAAAGGGACTAGGATGAAAATTATCATCAAGTCCCAAGCCTCTTGCTGGTTGGTTTGATGGTTCCACCAGACCTCGAATAATGCTGTCGAAATTCTGCATCATCATCGGGATCCCAGCGTTGGGTCCGTATGCGCGCGGGCTTGAGGGGTGTCCGGTGCCGAGCGTGGTACTGCTGAAAGTAAAACGCCCGTCGGGGGATGTGTATGTACGATGAAATCCAGAAGGAATATCTCTTGATGTTGTTCCAGGGAGCTCTTCGTCTACTCCCCATGGATTATGGTCTCCCCATGGGCTGACGCGTGGTTGCGACAGGTTTGCGGGGTGCTCAGGGGGACTATCGGAGGGAATATCGGGAGGAATTTCAACCTTAATAGGAGCAAAGCACAGTCAGAAGTGCGAAAATAAGACAAAAGTGAGGTATTATCCTTACTATTTCTGTGAAATCCGATTCGCAATGCGGGCATGTCAAGCCATGCGCCTCGTCTTTCAACCAAACCCCACCACAGGCATGACAGAACATGCGATCAGAGTCACTTTCCATGCTTAAGCGAGCAGAGAGGTAAGTGGAAATCGCAAGGTTGAAGCTGGTCAAGTCGATAAACGCTGCGTGGAGCAGTCACAGTGCCTTATCTGCGGGGAGAGGCTCTAAGAAGTGTTGGTGGCTTAAATAGTCATTGTTGACGTGAGAGTGAGAGCAGGGGTCTCTCTTAAGAACACGAGGTGTCTAAGGTGTCTTATGATTGAAAGAGAGAAAGTTAGAGTGAGAGATAGAGAGGAAGATGAAGCAAGTGTGATAGAGAGATAGAGGTGGAGGCAATGACGTTGATCGACAATCGCCTTCGATCGCCTTAAAAAGGCCAAACCAACACGTTTCGTGCACAAAAATAGAGTAGAACTTGCATCAGGCAGCTTTATTTTCTTAATCTTTACTTCGGAAATTTACGAATGCAAGGGGTACAGAAGAACAAAGAACATTTGAGCATTGGAACCTTCGAGACATGACTTATACACCTTTGTCTGAGATCGGGCTTATATTTTGTACTATCATGTTATGTATACCAGTACAGAGTACAACGAAGAGAGTAACGCCTTGGATGCGAGCGAAAAGGGAAAAGAAAAAAAGCCCATAATACAGTTGGTAGTTGGTTATACTCCAGACGCAAGGACAGTTCTGTGCCACAGCCCTTGCAGGCGCCAACGCATTTACCGTCTTCTGGCTCCCTTGACAATCAGACTACCAACCACTCCTGCTGCAACCGCTAAGCCACCAACGATGGCAATGCCCATCAGACCTTCCTTGGCGACCTTATCATCAATGAGTGACCCGAGGCTGGCGGCTTGCAGGTTTGCGGGCTCTTTCTCGAGGAGCAGATCGTTGTATCGACGGGCCTCGCCGTAGTTCCCAAGCTTGAAGTTGCCAAGTGCTAGGTAGTATAGACATTCACGTCGGCGTTCTGGGGCTCCGCGGAAGATCTCGGACAGAAGGCGAACGCCTTCTTGTTGCTCGGACCGAGCGTTGGATTTGATCAGACCCTATAATGAACACCCCCGCAAGGCGGAGAGTACCAGTTAGCGCGGGCACTCCGGAGTGGCTGAAGGAGCTATACCCATGCGTAGTTGAACTTTGTCTGGATTCCGACATAGTCGCCTTCTTTCTCGTACTGTGCCCGGAGGACCTGTAGTTCGGCGGGCTTCAAGGGACTGTTGGGCGCCAAGGTATTTAGCTTTTGTCGTTGGGCACTTGGATAGACATTTCACCGAGAACGAACCTTTCCGCATCTGCGGCATCTGAGAGAGCGAGTTAGCCATTAAGCGCCAGGCATCAGTGGGGACAAACCACCTACATGGGAGGTTGGACATGGTAGGATAGAAACTTGGTGTTTAGATAGAGTGAGGCGGACGAGTGAGGCTTAATGATTAGGAGAAGTAGGAAGAGAGCGTTGAGGAAGCCAAGTCAGAAATCCCAAGCGCAACGTCACTTTGCGGAGGAGCTACACATGTGGCGGTGCTGTGGCTGGCTGTTGCCGCCGCTACAACCCAAAACAACTCTTCGTTTCTCCCAACATCAGACACAATGTTGCTCGACGAGGAGCCTGGAACGGTATCTACTTCTCTGATTACTCTGAGATTATACTTTGCAATTTACTGACTATTCTAGCTCATCCACCACACGATCGGTAACTTCAACATCCAACCCGATAAACAAGCCGTCACCCGCATCAATGACTCGCTCTCAACCCTGCAGCAGTCGCGCGACTTGCGCATTCGCGAGGCCGAATCTGCCCTGCGCAAACTCTCGCGCAACTTGAATTCTCTTTCTACCCAGCACGAGGAAGCCGTGGCAGTGCACGATTCGGGCAAACACGCGGCGGAAATCGTGGAGTTGGACACCAAGAAATTCCGCATTGCCAAAGCGGCCTCGGAGCTGGAGATTGAAAGTGAGCGCCTGGAGAGTGAGCTCGAAATGCTCAAGGAGAGACTGGCCGACCTCGAGTCACAGGGTCTCGAGGGTGACGAAACCACGCGACGCGAGCGGGAGGCTGATGATGCGACAATGTGCGTGACTGTGCTCTTATTTGGGGTTGGTATGGCTGCTAACTTATATCTAGTCTGCGACTCAAAATCTTCCGTTCTCTGGGGGTTGATATTGAGCCTGATGAGGCTGGCAATTTCAACCGAGCTGTCATTCGCAACAGCCGCAAAGGCGATGTCCATGTGGTCAATATCGACCCGAAATTCTCCCGTTTCTTCTACGCAAACTACTTTTGGTCGACGATGCAAGGGTGAAGATCACGATGGTTTGTTTATGTGGAAGTCTATGCTCTCTGGCGTTTCTTGGGGGGGAGCCGTGCTTTTTCAACGGTTATTGGTTGTTGGTGTTTCTATACCCTTGGATTATTTCATGTCATAAATCGTACACTTTGTTCAAAATTTTGGCCACACAACTGCTCATGGATGCTCTGGCCTCCCAGTAGTGTATTCACTGTATTCACACCGGTATCGATAGATCAGGTTGCCGCTCTTGTAAAGCCCGAAGGACCTTCGTCCGGTCTGCATCCGAGATTGTCCCATCTGGCAAAAGTCCCGACGAGCCATGTGGTAGCACCCTCTCAGCAATATCCAGCAGCTCACCCTTCTCAATCTCCGGCAAGTCTGCAGCCCAAGATGCGACCCATTGCTCTTCGAACCGAGCCAGATCAAGCTCCACGCGATCCATATCAGGAATATCACATCCATCCCAGGTCAAAGCAACCTCCTTGATAACGGAGCCGGACTCGCCTTCAGAGGCCCCATATCGCGTTTCCACGCCTAGAGGCCCAAGCCCCAGTTCCTCGGCACGAGCGTTCCAAAGAGCCTGTTTCAAAGTCCCGTCCCGCTCGATCATCATCCAAAATAGGGGGTAAGTGCTCCGCGCAAGCGCATCGCGGACTCCTTTGGTTGCCTCGCGCGGACCGACCAGCACGCCGACTGTCTGGCCCGTGCGCCATCCCACAGGGGCCTGGCGGAACGTCCCTTCGAGTTCGCGCACGAGGTTCGGGCCTAGTTTGGCTTTGAGTGCTTTGCATTGCACTAGTACGCGTAGTGCGCGCTCTCCTTCGCGCTCTGGGAGGTGCCAGGTTCCCACTAGGTCGATGCCGGCGTCGTCGCGGCCGCCGATGCGGTGGAGTCCTAGGGCGTACCGGCGGAGCGCTTGGAGGACTGTATATTCATAGTGCGTGCCGACGTATACTGTGCTTGTCTCTGGAAGGGATATGTGTTTGGCGTAGGAGAGGAAGGTAGTCAGGTCATTGTGATGTTGTGAGGGCGGAGACGGTGCAGAGGGTAGTTTGAACAGTCGGCGCGAGAAGGGCGTCAGGTCATGATGGATGCGGGTGCTGGAAAAGCAGCGCCGAGAACTGTATCTGAGCTTCAAGTTAGACTTTCCGGCAGCGAGGCCATGGTGTAGTCGCAACAGGCGCATCGAGTGTTGTGAAGGAAGAAAACGCCTCACCGCATTGGAGCTTCTCTCCGCATTTGCTCCGCGCTTTCATTCTCGACGAGCCAACCTCGCTATTTCCCTCGGATCTGCTTCTTCGCAACATAACTTGCACATCTGAAGCTCCAGTCGCCATCATGGCCGACATCCTCACCCAGCTCCAGACCTGTCTTGACCAGGTAGACCGCTCCAAAGCCTACATTCAAAACCTTGCTAACAAACGAACAAACCAGCTCGCAACCCAATTCTACGCAACACTAGGCTATCTCACAACATACCACGACAATGCACCTACAACGCCACCCCCAGATGTCCCAGACGCCGCACCAGCCCTAGCCAAAATAACCAAGAACTCCTCATCACCACCAGTCCCAGCAGCTATCGCAAACACAGCGGCAGGCGCCGCAGCCGCACAAGGACCTGGATCTCCCCCACTCGCGCGGCCCCAACAACCTGGCGCTGCACCCGAAGCACCAGTAGAAGGAGAAGACCCTAATCTTCCCCCGGCGCCGGACTCACCCCACACATTTGCGAGCCGGCAGCGGGAACTTGCGCGTGACCTCATTATCAAGGAACAGCAAATCGAATATCTTATCTCTGTGCTGCCTGGTATCGGTGCCTCCGAGGCTGAGCAGGAGACCAGGATTCGGGAGCTGGAGACTGAGCTACGAAGTGTCGAGACGGAGCGGGCTGCTAAAGTGCGGGAACTGAAGAAGCTGAGGACCCGTTTGGAGAGTGTTTTGAATGCTGTTTCTGTTGGTATTTATGGAGACAGTCAATATCAGAAGTAAATTTTCTCAGCATATTGATATACAGTCCGGGGCTGGGGGTGGGAAACGGGCATGGGAATGAGCAAGTCATCTTTTTTTCCGTGTGATATTACTTTGGCGTTATGAGGTGGATGGCCATTTACGAATTGCAGAGGTGCATGGATAGATCTAATGAATACAGCATGATATCAAGTCTGGTCTCTAGCGATATTGGAATCTCGAACTTGGTTTTAAGTTTCTAGACAATAGGTCTACACTACACCTGGTGATTTATATCTCAAGTGGACATTTTCTGCAGATGGTATATTCTTACCCTATGTCTTCCCACGTCGTGTTCAGTTACAACATCAATTAGCCCTAAGGTTACCATTCTCAACCCCACCCCTCCCCTTCACTGTTGCAAACCCCCAGCACTTTGTATGTGCTTCGAGCAATTGGAGGCTATAGATCGAGACCATATCAATCAGCATCACAAGAACGACGAGGATGGTGATGCCGATGGTGCAGGTCACGAGTGAGGAGCTCCCGGCCAGGTTCGACACCAGAGCCGTTTGTAGCCAGTGACACAGCCAGTTCCAAAGCCTCCACAGCAGGTTCCTATCCAGCTCGTTCTCTCTTCCGCGCAGAACTGGGCTCCCGCGTTGTCCCCTTTAGACGTGGCCATCATGTACCCCAGTACGGGATTGTGATCGAAGCGCTCATATTCTGTGGAACTGTGTGAATCGTCTATGGAGCTACCACAGATGGGACCATCTCCATACCAAGTGCAGGCTCCGGCGATGTTGCGGTAGTTGCAAGCCCATGCATTTGAAATGAAAGCTATGGCGAGGGTCAAAATGTGGAAACGCATGTTGCGCTTGGTGGACCTGTGGACTTGATAAGATTGGGAAGGCAAGGGACATTTAACGATGATGAGATGTAGATCTTGAATCAATAGAGCTCGTTCGTTCCTCTTCAATTTATCTATGAATCTGCATCCAGTGGGAAGCACATGAAATTCCAAGAGACTTTGTTGATATACTCCGTTGCAACCACTCCCAAGATCTAAGTTATATCGCAGCGAGATCGGGAATTCACACAAGGAGCGGTCAAGCTTACTCAGACGAACATAGAGGATAGAATGGGCCTTGTGGACCCAATTGTGAAATTCATCTTTTGATTATGCGCCTCAAACCTGGTCAGGACGTCGGTCATCTTGTGCTGATTTCGACTTCCATTGTTTTCCCGCTTAAGTCGAAGCTCGGCTCTATTGTTACCGCTCAGTGTTCACTTGGTTAGAGATTATAGACTCAGTTGCGGAGTCATGACCGGCCTACTTAACCCATAAGGTCAAAGCAAAGTTTCTAACCGTCCAAGGTTCAATGGGGTGACCGATTATAATGTCACGAACTATAAGAACGGCTTGGGCCTTGCCCTGTTGACCGGGTAGGTTTTAAAGGCACCAAAGGCCGCAAAAGTGCAAGGTTCGATATTCACCGATCTATGAGCAGAGTAGCATGAATGGAACCAGTTCGAATCGCTCCACGTTACACGTGGCCCATATCCAGTCATAGAATTATAGAGCCAGAGTATAATTCTTGTCTATGCATCTATGGATCAACGCAAAGACCTTTTTAAAATTGAGATATATCGAAGAGAGGGATCTGGAACTGGCCATGCTGACATTGAAGCTTGGAAGTATGATTCATAGATCCCATGATGGCATCAATTTTGATATCCCCAAGCTATGGGATAGTCAATCGGCAAACTATTTTAGGATGCCTCTCAACGGGGAGTTTGGTCCATCGGCTCAGACGTAATGTAAAAGACCGCGGAGATGAAGGTCCAAAGGCGAAGATCGAAGTCAAGACACTGAAATATCTGGCAACCCATGCCAATATCCTAGTTCCAAAGGTTCTGCATGACTGAGTTGATCGCGATGGGCGATACTTATATCTGGTCAGACACTTGAGGCGTGGCATTCGCTATTAGAAGCTCAGAAAATAGCTATCGCAGATGAGGTCGTTTAAGTGCGTAAGCGGCTTCGATCTGTCACATTTACTTCCATCCAATGTGTCGATCAAAGCCCAGCCTACCCTAGTATACTGTTCTTCAATCTTGATCCTCGTGAGCCCTTTCATTCGGACAAAGAACTCAGAGATTCTGTCGGTCTTAGCCTTTACCACCACCCTGAAACATTATTGAAGAATTTGAAAAAGGTCCTACCAAAATGTGAGCCATACGTACTCACTCATTGCCATACGTACTCACTCATTGCGATCTCAACTTGGGCATTATCATGATTCAAGATGGAGAAGTTGCTCCGAGAGCGACTGGGGGTACAGGGCGAGGCTCATGAAGATGCCAAGGTATTTCGGACGGATCTGCTTAACATTAGACAGTATCCGGAATTGAACGAGAAAGGCTAGGACAGGACGCCTTAAAGAAGCTGTCTTAAACTGGCAATTATTTGACAAAGACAATTTACTACGGCGACGAGGATACACTGCAGCTTGGGATTACCAGCAATTCGAAGCAGCATTACTCACTGTTTGTCTCAATGAAAGAATGATAGGATAGGATAAAAAAAGAGATCATTATACCATCCCATATACGTAGGAAGAGTCATTTCCGGGATTATAAACAAGCTCGATCTAGGGCAGGGCAAATACAATGGAACGTGATGAGAGACGCATCAAAGCACGATCTATCAGAAAAGCAAGCAGCCATGTATAAAGCTCGCATGGGATAAAGTAAAAGCAATAAAAAGAAAAGAAGGAAGAAACATCCTGTATGCCATCCCATAAGGAGAATCAAAGGATGAAAGAGGTATGCTTCGAAATAACTATACTAACGCCTTCTCCTTCCCGGGTATCATATAAACGAAACCAGCATGCCGCCAGGATCTAGGCAGAAGAAATCAAATGAGATGGGGAACATTGAAAAACGCAAAAAAGTGCCGTAAAAAAAGTAAGAAATAAAAAGAATGAAAAGAAAAGAAAGGAAAGAATCATGAAGAGTCATCACTTGAAGAGGGAACGGTACTCGCGCATACGAGCCTCCTGAACCTCCCGCTTATCCAGTTTACCACGGTTCATGCTCATATCTGCGAGCTGCTGCTTCTTCTTGGCGAGTTCCTGGATCTTCTCCTCGATACTGCCTTTCATAATGAACTGGTATGTCTCCACGGGTCGGGTCTGTCCGAGACGGTGGACACGGTCGACGGCCTGTGCAACGGCGGCTGGATTGTATTGTGGCTCCATGATGAAGACACGCGATGCGGAGGTTAGATTGAGACCGACACCACCTGCACCGATGGTAGCCAGGAGAATGGTGATCGAATCGTCTTTGGCGAACAGTTCGAGGGCCTTCATTCGTGCGGCAAGGGTCATCGTGCCGTCCAGTCTGACAAAGCCGTCCAGTCCGTTGTTTCGCAGGGCGATCTCGATGAGGTCCAGGTGGGAGGTCCAGCCGGAGAACACAACGCTCTTGATGGGTGGCTCGCCTTCGAGTTTCTTGCTGTCCTCGACACTTCCCTTGAGGTAATTAAGCAGTGCGGTGGTCTTAGTGTGCGGGCCTTCATATTCACCGAAAACCTTGCCAACCTTCCCATTTTGGCGGTCACGGCGCTCTTGATCCTGCTGGGCCTGATATTCGTCAAGGCCAGAGGGTGTGATTACGGAGTAGGCCATGGCGGTCCATCCCTTGCAGCCGGGACACTCCATGGGAGTCTCGGAGTTCGAGTCGAACACTTCTTTCCAACCAGAGAAACAATTCGGGCAGAAGACACAGCCGCAGGGCAGGTATATCGCCATCGGGGCGTCACGGTCGACTTCTCCATTCGCAGCGAGGATTGGCTCGAGGGGTTTGTTGCAGGTTTCTGTCGCACACAGATCCTCTGCCATGTCCTGTCTCATAGAGAACATGCCATACGCCTTCTTGTCCAAGGCTGCGGGTGTTTCGGCCGGTTCACCTTCCTCCAGGTCGATGGCATCGTGCACAGATAACCCCTTGATCCGCTCGCGGTCCTCGATGTCCAGAAGCTCTTTGCCATGAGCACTGACTTGACGAAGAATCATCATGGCCTTCAGAACGTGGTGGTACATCCGGCCACCCATCTTGTTCTTGGATTCTCCAGCAATGACGCGCATCATGACATTTGACTCATTGCGGAAGAACTCATGCAGTTGCTTCTCCTGCTCGGTGAAATCCAATATGACCATGTTATCATTGCGGGGTGGCAAATTGATTCTATCCTTGACGCGGCGCAAAGTGAACGAGTCCACCATGACTCGCAAGCTAGCAAGAACAGTGGGGTCACCTGTCTTGAAAGGACTCAAAATATGCTGGACGAAACTGCTCCGCTCATTGTAAGGATAAATGCGGAGAAATTTGGTGACAGACAAAAGATCTTCCAGGCGATTCTGGATCGGAGTTCCAGTCACAGACCATTTGCGCTCAGCGTTGAGATCCAGTATAGCCTTTGTTTGCCTTGCATTCTGCTCTCTGATGGTGTGAGCCTCATCAAGCACAATCCGGAACATATTCATCCTCCTCAAAGGGCTGTCTCCGCGCCTGGCGCCCCGCCCATTCATCTCACTGAGAACGGTGCTATAGGTGGTGATGAGAACGTCATATTTCGCGAGTTCGTCCAAATCAGTAATACGATTTGGGCCATGGAATGTATGACACTTGAGAGAGTCTGGCGCGAGATGCTCATTGATCTGCGTTGTCCAGTTGCTGACCGCGCTCAAAGGGACAACTAGAAGGGTAGTGCGCGTATTGCGAATGCCAGGAATCGCGCGAACAAGGCTGGGGTGAGGTGCCAATCTTTTCCATTCAAGAGATGACTCAAGAGAGGCCGTTATCAACGATAGGATGCTCAAAGTCTTGCCCAAACCCATCATATCAGCCAATAGGCCTCCCAGAGACTCCTCGGGCTTGCTATCAAGAACAAGTCCGGTGATGATCTCGCGGTATTGAATTTTGCCACCAGACGTGCGGACCATTCGCCACAACGAGTTGTTGTCTTCCTCGTTAGGGCCGAACTTGCGCGGCTTCTCTTTCTCTGTCATAAACCAGAGAGCTTGTTTCTGATGCGGTAGCAGGGGGGTCAGGATGTGAGAACTTGGCTCCATTGTTGGGATGTCCACAGTGATGAGCTGATCAAACATCTTCATAACGGCATCGTTCACCTCCTCAGCAGTTCGAACCTCATAGCGAACGGTCGAGCGTCCAGTAACGTTATTGCCGGCGACTGCTGCTGCGTTCATCTGACGGCGCACATTCGCGTGTGGGTTGAAAAGTATACTTCCTTGTCCCAAGACCGTTGGAGTTCCCAGCCAGACGTTTTTCTGGCCCAGAAATTTCCCAATCCCAGTGGCATGCTGTCTCTGGCCATAGAGGTTGATGGATACACGATAGATACCCGATACCGGTCCCCCAATCACTTCTCCAGGCACCTTCTTCCGAGTGTCGAGTCGCGCAGTGAATCCCACGGGCCATGCAGTGGAGTCAAGCAATGGGCATAGTGCTATAGCAGTCTTCGCATCAACCATGCCAAAGTTGTTCCCGTAAGGATCAATGGCATCGATTTGGAAATTGCCCGTAGGCTGACGCCGAAGGTCGAGCTTTATTGAAGTCCAATGAGAAGCAGAGTCGTTGAAGACAGGATTTGGTGGGGGTTGAGGGACATGATGGGCGTTGATGAAGGCGTTTTCGATCCTTCCGAAGCAGACCTCTTGGGTGCTAAGGTCAGCGGACCCTGTGCATTGCACTTCGTCATCATCATCGTTGGACGCGTTAGTGGCATCTAATACAGAGTTAGCCTGCAGTGAACAAATTTGACGCTGAGAAATACTTTACCGGCGGTCAAATCAACAACAGCAGAAGCAGTTGGAGTTGCAGTCTGATTGCTCTCCCCTTCTTTCATGAATTTGCCGAGTCCAGTATCTCCGGAGATTGCGATCGGTATGTTAGCCATGCTGGGCTTTTCGTCTGTGCCATCAGTTTTGACCTTCTTTGTCGGTGGATTCTTCCGATGTTCAACGCCATAGACATCTTCGATGAGATTTGGCCGACGAACATCTTCCTCGTCGCTCATTTCGTGATAACTCCGTTTTGAGTCACTCTCATTCGCTTCATCGAGGGCTGTAGTAAACTGCACGGTCAGATTGGATTCTGGCTTCGGGGCCGGGCTCGAAACCCTGCTAGTTGGTTGGTTCGGAGACGCCATTGGAGAAGGTCCTCGGAAGCTTGTCGTGGCAGTACCGGGTGGCGCCATGGGATGGGCTGGAGACGTATCGTTTTTCTTGCGTCTTCCTGTGGGTTCGCGAAGTGAGCCAAGAGTCAATGCCGATTCCACAGACATGGGGTCTGTTACGCCAGGATAAAAAGAATAATCATGGAAAGAATGTGTGATAGGGCCAGGGGGATCAAGCGCAGTAGGGACATGAGTTTCAACTGAGGCGAGAGGAGGCTCGCCAGTTATCATGGTTGCGTCCATTTGATACGAAGACGAATCAAGCGCAGTAGGGGCATGAGTCTCAACTGAGGCGAGAGTAACCGCTCCAGTCGTCACAGAAGTATCCATCGGATGGTAAGACGAGAAATCATGCGAGGGAAGGGCAGAAGAAAAAAGTGATGCAGGAATAGGAGACGAAGTCGAAGACCCAGGAGGGACTTGCAAAGACTCGTAGGGCATAGTGGCAGGTCTCGTTTCAATATGATCACCCGCCGGGGAAAGGGAAGACGTAGAAGAAGCGGGATGGTTACCATTGTTCTGGACCTGTTTCTTGTAGGACTTTGGGTCCAAGAGAATGGACGGATGGGAAGCCATCTTTCGTCGTCGAGCTTCGAGGATTTGGGATAAAGTTTTGTTCGGATGGTGGGACTAAAGTGACGGTACGCAAGTCCTGGAGTGAACGTACGCAAGTCCTAAAGTGACGGGGGACGCAAGTGTCAGTGGCTTGAAAGAAAGCCGGTTTCGCTGGCGAAAGTACGTGATCGCTTCTTTTTAGCACTCACCGTAAACTGTGGACGGTTTGCACCGCACCGAGTCTGTATGAGTCAAAGCTTGAAGGCTTATGATACAGTGAACAGCGTTCACGGGAGCCAGGTGGGTTGTAGGTTGTAGGTGTAGACTCGACGGCGATTCGTGATAAATCCACCGCCTGACGTTTTGTAGGTTTCGCTGTGAACGCAACTTGATCGTCGGCAGTAACGAAATCTTGAGCCTCGAGAGAATGTAGTACCGTTTAATGTTGGAACACGATGACGGCGCAAATTGTCTGCTGAACGAAGGGAGCGCCTTCCAGACGCGAGAGTCGCAGGATCTCTCTCGTCATTGGAAGTTCACGATACAGGCGCAGAGCACGGGATAGTATCGTGCCACTTCAGTCTGGGGTCCTGGGTAATATTTATGGCAGTGGTTATGGTGTCGATTCCTTGGTCGCAATCCCGTCGGCGCCTTGTCGTTTGCCTGCCCGTGGGGTCGATTATAACCAGGTCGAAAGTGGCACCTGGGGATTTTCGAGGTACTTGCTGGCCTCGAGCGGCTGTTAGGGATATCGGCGTGCGCGACTGTATTCGTCTCGAGTCGTTTGTAGAGGCAGAGAATGAAGCAAATGACCTCAATCTCGGATAATCCCGATAAGGTTCTTATCAGTGCCGCGTTTGAAGCCGCGTTTGGCGTACTTTATACGCTAGATGATAGATATAGATGGGAATAAAGGGGATAAAGGGAATCAAAAGGGGGAACGGTCGAGAAAGATGGTCGAGATGAGAGAAAGGGAAAAAGAAAATTTATGGAAAGTGTGACATGTCCCCGCGCTTAGTCGCCCGGGCGAGGCTTTATAGATCAAATGATATAACGTTAAACGGGCGTTTAGCTTCAGACATTCCGGAGCCTTCTTCGATAGTGCATATATGCTTAGACCTATTTATTGGCAATAGCTGATACCAGCCATATTTGAGTCTAGCCTAGGTGTTTTCGTGATAGCCACGATGTTATCTCATCTCATCGTTGATAGTGGATACTAGCATGATCTATATTAAACCAGCTCTATACATCAGTGAATATAAGTCACTCGTAAAGCAAAATCGTCATACCCAGTGACATAAACTGCAAACTCCACAAGCCAGTACCTCCAGAAAATCGAACAGTAACTCGTGACCTAGACACAATCATCCCCACAGCCAGGCGAACGAACAGGCGCCGAACAAATGACCACCACAGAATCTATGGAATGCCTACTAGTCTAAATGCAGCCAAAACAATTTACACAGAAGGGACAACAAAGGTATCATAGAATTAAGTCTCGTCATATATGCTACATGAGGCAGTTCGCTCAATCAATGCGCCACAACCCAAGGCAACCGGAACAGCCAAAGAAGATTTATATACAACACGGGAATCTCCCCAAATCATGAGCATGTCCAGTAAAGGACTCGTGTGAAAGGTCACAGAAAGAGAAGCGCAGTCAATATGTCTTGAGCGGGAAATTGGTGGCCGGCGAGTGAGTGGTTGGATCCCGGTTTCCCGCTCAATACACCGCTGCAGAAGATGGGTGCAGATTAATGAGGAAAAGAAATGCAAAATGCGAAGGTGTGGAAATAAAAGGTGATGCAAGGCCGAGCAAGGTCGATATAACCTTAGCACCAGGTGAAGACGGGATTTTTGCTTTTGACGGCTTCGAGGCGCTCAACGATCACCTTGCGTTGATTGCCTTCCATGCCTTCAGCAACTGCGTAGCCAAGGTCTCCTTCCAGGTCATCGCTGCCAAATGTGTTGACGTGGGGAACGCGGTAGGACAGGGACCCGCCTTGCTTTCGGTGCTTGTGAGGAGGACGCGGAGGAAGTGAAGGCCACCCGTCGAGAGACCCACCAGCTGGACCATCGGCATTTCGAGCGAAATCCTGCTCGTTCATAGTAGCAGGGCTACCGATCGAGCCGCCAGCGTCGCCATCGGCACGACCTCGAGAGAGCTCGAATCGGTTCGGGTTAGGGAGATCGCTGGGCGACGAGTTCAATCCTAACAAGTCGCGCTCGCGTTCAGGGGCTGGTTGGGAAGAGGCAGATGCGCCGATGTCCATCTCTTCTTCATAAGGGTCGTAATTCATAGATTGGTTTCTTTGCCTGTCAGTCGAAGGAGCGCGCATCGGGATGGCAACGGGAACATCAACGAGATCATCCCAGACACAGACCCGGGTACGACGAGTGAGTTCGAGAGGGCCGTGATCCGGTTGCTTCAATGTCTCCACGACATTCCAGGCTTGACCTTTCATAACCGCAATTTGGCGAGCGAACATGCTCTCCTTGAAATCGTCATCTTGTGCAAAGATGCCACGCAGAGCCATTTGTGTTCCGCTCCACCAATCTGTCGATGTAAGGAGGGGGAGGAAGTGGTCGCGGGTTCTTTGCGAGAAGGGCTGTCCAATCAAGGATACTGGCAGGAAGAGCCAACCGAAGGGGAAACTGCGCCACTGCGAATTGTTAGTACTGATCATTGAGATGGATGGACCGGAAACTTACTGCGTCTGGATGTTTCCATGGCCAAGACAGACTGTTGTCAATGGCACCAAGTTGAACAGAAGCTGACTGCTCAGACGAAGCTAGGGGGGTTCCTGTGCGACTGATTGCCATCATGGTTTCATGTCGCTTATAGGGAGCATTAGGGCTTTTTGTGCCGTTCGAGTTCACGGAAACTGGACGAGGCGGAGGCAAGAGTTCATCCTCATCATGCCTAGGTTGTGGCTCGTTGTTCTTGGGAGGGTCTGCCACAATAGAAACCGACTCTGTCCCCCAGTCAATCTTGACCATCCAGTTATCAAGGCCTCGGTCAGTGTTTCGCATGATGTAATCCAAAATCACAAGCTTCTCCAGCTCTTCGCGGAATGATTGCTTGAGATTCTCCGTCCAGTAGAATTGGCGCTCGGCACTCGGGTCACGCGAGGGGGGTGGTGAGGGTACGTATCCAGGATCTTCGTCATCCTCGTCGTCTGACTGGGTCCCTGAAGGACGGCAGGCCTCGTTCCACGGCCGCTTCTTGCGCTTCGGGGCATCCTCGGCGCGGAAGCCGGTGTTGGCCTGGTCAGGCCAGGGGTGTTCTCGTAGGAAAATGTTGGCATCCTTGAATCCTTTTAGGAAAACTTGGAAACTCCCTGCCTTGGGGGGCAACGATTTCTTGCCCTTCCATGCCTTTCTTCGGTCCCAGAAATCATAGAAGAATGATTTCGAGGATAGCCGCACAATACCAGTGTAGGGAACGAGGTTCGTGCGCAGGCGAGCATCGAGAACGTAGGCGGCGGCTTCCGAGACGTAGGAAAGGTTGGGAATGAGACATGCACGGCCGAAGAAGCAGGGGAACAAGTTGCGGTGAATCCATTTGGTCCATTTGGGGTTTCGTGAGGCGTAGGGCTCCTCGTCCTTCGGTTTAAACACACCCACTACCTTCCCCTCAGGGTTTCGAGCAAAGTAACTGCCCGAGCTTCCTTGTGAGATCATCCGCGGGTGTACGTCGAGTTCAATGGCCAGGCGAACACTTTCGATGATCTCCTCGTATTCAGCTCGGGCTCGCCTTTGCTCGCCTTCAAATTCATCTGATTCGAGAGTTTCGGCAGTCACAGGGCGGATACCTGGAGGAGCCTGGAAGACCGAATGATAGATCTCCAGCTTCTCCTCCTCATAACTCTTGCCCTTGACTCTGTTGATCTTGAATTTGGAGGCAATCTCATCCGCCCACTTTTCAAGACGCGCATTAATGGCCTTGATATCTACACCGGAGTTCCGACGTCCCCGGGGGTATTGATATCCGCTATGCCGGCGTCGATGACCGTTGGGCGAATGGAGACCGGATGCCTGCATCTGGGCTCGGGAGGAGATGGGGGCATATCGGGGCGCGGAGGTGGATGCTATCGAAATAGCACCTTGTTCCTCCTCTGAATCATAGTGAAGATAGCCCCGTTCCTCTTCCTCCTGGGCGAGTCGGGCGTATCCCGAGGTGGCAGGGCGGTTTTTCGGCATTGTGATGAATCGATCTATGGAAGGGGGTAACGGAAGGAGCCAGTAGAAAGGAAGGACGGCAAATTAAGACAAAAAGGAGGTTAATCCATTACAAAGAAGGGAAGGTAAGAAGGTGAGAAAGTGAAGGACCGGCTAGAGGCGAAGGCAGCTGAAATAACACTGGCTAGACACTTAAGGGCAGGGGGCGTTTCGGGGTACGGGATACCCTTAATTTACCGGGGCGGTGAAAATGTCAGCGGGCAGAAACGGCCACCTGTTTGCGGTTGGCTGGTCCGGTGTGCCAAATACGGTAATACCAATACGCACCGCCACGTCTCCACCCCCTACGTAGTTAAGCATAAAAGGGGTGTCTCTCCTTATGTAGATTGGCGGTTTATACAGGTTTGTACGGCAGAGTATAGCGGTTTAACAATGCTTAAGTTGACTCCGTAGAAGTGAAATGTTACCTACACATATCTATGCTATCTATGTTTAGTAAATCCATCTATTAAGCCTCTGGCTCTATATACAGGGGACTTTGATAAATGTTTCCGGTCTAGAAAATTACTAGAGGTGTACAGCAGAACTCAATTGACTTGTCTCGCAAGTCTAGAGTGGCAGGGGAATGACAGAGGAGGCAGGGCATTCCTATACCTAGTAGGCATGCAGTGGTATTAAATAAGCACGATAAGACACGCGATAATAACAATCGGAGGATAAGATCTTCTTCTTCTTCCCCTTCCCACCTTCGATCTCGAAGATCTTAATGTCTCTAATCTGACTGTTTCTTCTTGATTTAATCTTTGGTTTAATCCTCGGGTCCTTCCCATCCTCTCTTTCCATTCTTACCCGTTCGATCTTCGACCGTCGTTCGACCTGTCCGAGTACCTGGGAGATCTTGTCTTTGATCTGATCGATTGCTCCAATTGCTTCAGTTGTCTCAATTGCCTCGATTGTTTCTTGATTCTCCAAATCAACGAAACTCAATTGCAACTGTCGCGTGATTCGACCGATCGTTGTCTTCCCAGTCCTTCAATTCGGTTCACGGCCGGATTTCAATCGACACCCGCCTTCCCACCTCCACGGTGGCTTCCATCCTCTACAGGGCGTCGCCCATTGACCCGGCTCTCAAACCTGGTTCGCCTCAAGTCCGCGAATTTCCCTACGATTCCCCGTCCGAAGCCTCTACTACGCGTCAGCCCTCCAACGGATCGATACCCTTTTCTACCACGCTGCCGGATATCAAAAGTGTGGCAAAGTTCGAGAGTGATTACTCCAGCTCGACCACTGTCAGCACTTCGCTTCCTGGATTGGCAGCTCTGGCTTCTGTCGCATCAGCACCAACCTCTAATCTCCGGTACGTGAGGACATACAACACAAGCTGGATCACCTGCCCTGGTGCTCACCTGGGCTATCTATATTGCGTAATCTTGGAAGATCAGTAATATGGCAGTAATCTGGCCCCTCTCTCGTGCATAAGGTGTATCAGAATGAGGTTATAGGCTGCGAACCCACCAATTTGCCAATTGCGAACGTGCAAATTTGCAACTTTTCGTCAACCTGCTAACTCCTATCTAGATCATCAAGCGATGCCAGTATGAGCATGGCTAACATGACCTATACCTCGCCCGCCGCAACCACTGGAGGGAGCCCTGTAAGAATCCGCTTATCTCGGGTCTTGGCACCTGGACCGTGCACCCGCATTTTCCCTTTCCTTATCGACTCAAACTCATCTTATCATTCTATCTTCTCCCATCTTCCTCACTTCCACCATGGCCACTACATTGACTGACGACAATCGTACTCAATTACAGCCGGTTTGCCAAAATTGCGGCACCTCCACTACTCCCTTGTGGCGCCGTGATGAACAGGGCTCAGTCCTCTGCAACGCCTGTGGACTGTTCTTGAAACTTCATGGCCGTCCTCGTCCGATAAGCTTGAAAACCGATGTGATCAAGAGTCGCAATCGCGTCAAGACCGGCCAAGGTCCCAAGCGCAAGGTGAGTTTGCGATCAAAAATTTTCCCTCCCCAGCCTCTATCTGGCCCTAGATAAGATATGTGCTGATACGAGGTTGCGAACATAGTCCGGCGGCCCTGTCGATACCAATGGCCTTCCTTCCAGATCGGAGGCTGGAACTCCTCCTCTCGGTGGGCATGGATACCGCCGCGCGTCGCGTAAGATGTCACCGGGCCATTCGGATCGCTCGAACTCCCCCGTATCCCGGACCGAGACGCCTGGCTTTGGTTCGATGCACGCGCACAACTCGAATATCGCACCCCAGCACATGTTCGATAGCGTCACTCTGGGCGATAACATCAACTCCTCCAGCAGCCTCCCCTCGCGCCAGATGCGCCAACCCTCCCCTTCAGCAGTCGACCGCCAACTCGACTCCCCCCACACATTCGAAAGCCTCCTGGCCCTCAACACATCCCTCAAGACCCGCGTCAGTGAACTGGAGTTTGTCAACGAGCTCTTCCGCGGCCGCGTGACAGAACTCGAACAGAGCGACGCCAGCGCGCGCCGGTCGGAGATGATTGTACGAGACTCCGAGGTGCGTCTCCGCCGATCCCTCGAGGACTCCCAGCGCCGCGAAGAAGATCTCAAGCGTCGCGTCAGCGATCTCGAGCGCCAGATCGGAACCAGCAGCGCCGGCGACGCCGAGTCCGGCGAGCCCTCCGCGAAGAAGATCCGCCTGTCAGACGTGGTGGAAACCAGCGAGGAAGCGCAGACCAAGTCGCAATCTCCCAAGAGCGTCTAGGTCCGCTATACTCAAATATATTTAACCACCCCCACCCACGCGTATATCGTAACTAGGTTGGCTCTCTACGCGGCCACTCAGTTGCTGGTCTCATTCCGGTTCCTTCTGATCTTTTTTGATACCCTTCACCTCCATGGCTCCATTGTCATCACTGGCTGGAGCCTTAACAAAAAAAGCTCATACTCTTGAATGGTTTCAATTCTTTTTCCCCTTTCTTTTCCCTATGTCTGGATGTTTTGCAAACCCTCTCTGTTATAATTTGCTTTCCTGCGCTGTGCTGTACGAACTTCTCTATGCTTCTAATACAATATTCTTTACATCCTTTGCTTTTTAGTGGTTACGAGGACCTGGAGATTGATACGTGATATAGTTGGAGGGTTCTCGTTTGGGCGCTCTGTCTTGGAACTTATGATAGTTGGCAATCTTGAGTCTTCTTTTTGTCATGTTCCAGCTCGCTGGTAGGCGGCTCCATAGGGTTATTCTAATGGTAGACTGTACTACCACTGCAGTGGTATCTTCTTGCCCCATTTCTGGCATCACATGCTATGGATGTGATAGATGCGATAGATGTGATATACATACCTTCTGTCATCCATGGATGATCACATGTTTATCGACAATGTGCCTACCTGCAGTACAGACATACTTTATACGCCTTCAACGGTTGTATTCCGCCTACACTAGCTGGACATATAAATCCCATAGCTAGTGCATATGATCCCAAGCAAATACGTGAACATACATAAGTATTGAATAAGTTCGATACTCCCCATGTATATAACAAGCAAGGAATCCTGAAGCTGTCGCACAAACGAAGGAAAAATGAAGTAAGGGAAACCCGCCAGGCGCAAAGTATCAAGTCTATAAGAGAAACAATGCATCGTGGGTATCTAGTGTCGAGACCAGACACATAACATGCCACCAAATGCACTCTACTGTATACCAAGTCATAACAAACCGAAAAGATATCAAAAAGGACAAAGAAGACAAAGAGAAAGAAGTAGGGAGACAGATAGACAGGCAACCAAGAAAGGTCACTATCTGCTAATGATCGTTATGCAAACAGAGCTCACGCAAGCCGGTGACCAGCCTTCCTGTTCATGGCATTATGAATCGACCGCTCACGGAAGATACTCCAGAGACAAACGGCGATACCGAAGATACCCGAGACGAAAGTCATGAAATATGCCGAGCGGTAGCAGCCCAGACCATCAGGACATTCCCGATCACCGTCCTTCCCGACCACGGAATGGCCATCGTAAATGCTCCCGTATAGGATGTTAAAGACGTTACCACTGAACACAGGGGCGAGGGTCATAACACCCCAATTCTGGGATAGACCGTTGATACCGAACGTGTGAGCAGTGAGGGAAGGGAAGACGCCGAAGAGGAAGCCGTAGGCGATACCCGTCATACCAGAGACGACGACCAGACTGTTCGGGTTTGAGATTGATGTACCAGCTAGCTGGGTCAGGGTGAAGACGACGGCTGAGATGAAGAGACACCAGAAGCGGGACATGCCGAGTTTCTTGACTAGGAGGTCTGAGCCGATACCGCTGAAGAGACGGCCGAGGAAGTTGCCGAAGGAGAGGATAGAGACGTGCATTACTTGGCGGTGTTGGATGAATCTGTCTGTGGCGCTGTCGTCGTAGTAGAGCCATAGGGCTTTGACGCTGTTGCCGATGTTGTTGATTGTCATTAGGCCGATTCCGGAGAGCAGGGCCATTGTTAGGAAGAGTTGCCAGAATTCGACGCGCTTGAGCATTGCTAGGCCTCTGATGTCTAGGTAGTGCGACTCGTCTGCTACTTCGTCTAGGAAGTCGTCGTCTAGGGTGTCAAAGGATGGGCGGGGGCGGTCGTCCTTGGAGACTAGGACAGATGTCTCGTCGTTGGCAAGTGGTCTACCGTGGGAGTTTGAGACGGTTGATTGAGATCGTGCGTGCGCGGGGTGTTGCCCGTGCTCGAAAGCGGTTGAGCCATGTAGGCCGGAGTCTTCTGCGGCCTCCGGTACAGATCGTAGATCTGTGGGGTGATGCAGTCTTCTAGACTCGGTTGCGTTGTGTGGGACAGCTGAGTAGGGCTCGGAGGCGAGGATTCGAAGCAATGGAATTGATGCAAATGACAGGATCGAGGTACCGAGGGCCAAGAGCAGAAGGAAGCGGCCGGTGTCGTCCTTGAAAATGAGTGTGGATACGTTGGACCAGAACAACGCACTGAGTCCAAAGGCGGCCAGCGGAAAAGCAGTAGCTGTGCCACGGTGATCGGGGAAGTTGGATGCCGCTAGTAACATTTGGTTAACCATAATTCAAGCATGTCTCTCGTGTAACGTACCTGTCTTGATGGCACCACCGAAGGCAGCGCAGCCACCCGTTCCGGTCAGGAAAGTAAATAAGCATAGGAAGATAATCGGCATGGATCCTTCGCCATGTTCATATGCTACTAACATTAGTGCCATTCAATATAGAGGCAGTAGCGGAGCATACCCAAGTATATCGGGAAATATCCCAGACCCAAGCAGATCGAACCGACTAGCGTGACCAATCTTGGGCCCCGCGCATCAGTTAATAGTCCCATGGGGATTCCCATGGCATACATGCCCAAGTTTCCCGCAACACCCTAGGGCTTGTTAGGACACATTCCCCGCGACAGACACACCACAACTCACTATCATGTTGCTCTCAGTCGATGAGAGCTTCATCCGTTGGGCGAATTGCGGCGCCCACGCGGAGTATGCATACTGTCAATGCTGTTAACCTTAATCATCCTCAAAGGGGATAAGCTCGGAGATATCACGCACATTCGTTCCGCATGACAGGGCGACCAGCGTCCCCGCAATGACGGAAATAGTCCGGGCAGTTTTATGGAGAGAGGTCATTATCTCGACTGGATGTCCTCCCAGTTGTTTCCCGGTGTGTACGCGTGGGCGGAATGTTGTGACGATTAGGCCCAGGATAGATAAGAAGGTAACGGGAGGGACATCGGAGGAAGGAAAGAGAGAAAGAGCAAAGAAAGGAAAGAAAGGAGCGAATGGATATAGGAAGAAGTCGAAAGTGAAATCGGAGGCCAACTGGACTTTTCAGGAGCGTCGTAATCGGCCCTGGGGGGGACCTGTTAGGTAAGGAATCTGGAGATCACCTGTGGACACTTGACCCGCGTCGGAACGTCAAATGTGCCAAGTTATGGAGAACTTCAATATACTGGAATACTGTGGAATTGTAGCAATGGCAATGGGTAGAAAAGTAGAGGGGAGGTTAAGGTGGTCTAGATAACAGGCTGCATATGCACAGCATCAATATCTCTACATATTGCGAATCCAGCCTAACCTATACGTCACCATACTAAGACTAACTTATCAACACCGATTCTCCGATAAGACATCTCTCTAGGGCTGTCATGTGCCCGCAATTGTGCCTAATTACTTTCTTTCCGAACACCCGTCGACCGGCCTGGTGCTTACATAACATGACGAAGGCGGCGGGTTCCTGACCAGGTGATCTCCAACTTCTCCTCTCCCATACTGCACGCAGAGACCTGCATCTAGGTACATACACACAATCAACTATTCGACTGGGCTGGGATACCTCATACCTATAATCCCAATATGGGTGCCCTCCTTTCTTTGCCGCTCTTGGCCGTGCCGAGTGTTGGCACAGTACGTTGTCGCCTATCACCATAAACATGCAGCCTGACTGACTTGCTTTCCTCGCACAGCTCGTGACAATCGGAACTTCATGCTGTGGAGCAGCGACATGCTCGATGGTTTGCAGCGCCTGCGGAAAGTTCCAAAACAGGTACCTATCATCGGCTGCCTAGTGCGGAGAACCTCGGACTAACAAGGAAAACAGTATGGCGACGAGAATTGCCTATGCGTTTATCCTCTTGATCAACTCGATAATCTCCTGGATTATGCTCACGCCATGGGCTTTGAAGAAATTGCAGCATTTGACCCTCGACTACATGGAAATTCGATGCGACGGGAAGGAATGTTACGGCTGGGTCGCGGTTCATCGCATCAATTTTGCTCTCGGTCTCTTCCACTTGATCTTTGCCCTCTTGCTCCTCGGTGTCAAAACCTCGAAAGATAGCCGCGCTTCCCTTCAGAATGGATACTGGGGCCCGAAGATTATCCTCTGGATGGCATTCGTCGTCATGTCGTTCTTCATCCCCGAACCCTTCTTCTTCGTCTATGGCAATTACATCGCCTTCTTCTGTGCCATGCTCTTCTTACTTTTGGGCTTGATCCTGCTGGTGGACCTCGCGCACTCCTGGGCCGAGTTGTGCCTACAGAAAATCGAGGACAGCGATTCTCGTGTGTGGCGTGGTTTGCTTATCGGTTCGACCCTCGGCATGTACTTGGCATCTTTCGTCATGACTATCCTGATGTACATCTTCTTCGCCAACAGCGGATGTTCTATGAATCAGGCTGCTATCACGGTAAGCTACCCGTTCTCAGACTCTGGCACAAAACTGACTCGCCCAGATTAACTTGGTTGTCTTCTTGATCATCTCATTCATCTCTGTACAGCCGGCAGTTCAGGAGTCGAACTCTCGCGCGGGATTGGCCCAGGCCGCGATGGTTACTGTGTACTGTACTTATCTCACCATGTCTGCAGTCTCGATGGAGCCTGACGACAACAACTGCAACCCCCTGATCCGGTCTCGCGGAATTGGAACTGCCACTATTGTTCTCGGAGCTATCGTCACTATGGCGACAATTGCATACACCACTACCCGCGCTGCCACACAAGGTATTGCGCTGGGATCCAAGGGTGGCCACAACTACGTCCAGCTGGGTGTAGATGATAACGAGCATGGATTGGTGACCCAACAACCAGCCGCTCGTCGTGAGATGCGCGCCGAAGCCCTCCGGGCTGCCGTTGAGAGTGGTAGTCTGCCTGCCAGTGCCTTGGATGACAGCGATGATGAGGACGAGTATGAAACCGCCAAGGATGATGAGCGTGGCTCCACCCAGTACAATTACTCGCTCTTTCACGTCATCTTCTTCCTGGCCACAACTTGGGTGGCCACATTGCTGGTCCAGGGACTGTCACTCGAGACTACCACCGATTTCGCTCCTGTAGGCCGCACATACTGGGCCAGCTGGGTGAAGATTGTCAGCTCCTGGGTCTGCTATGCTATCTACTTGTGGACCCTGGTTGCTCCTGTTCTTCTGCCGGATCGCTTCGGTGTTTACTAGGTCTGTTCGATATTGGAATGTTGTTGGTTCTGTTATATTTTAGTTCATAGCTGCAATAGCAAATTTGTCTGTGACAAGCAAATATATTGAATGTAAATCCAAAGACAGGACAAGCATGGGACATTGGCCTCCGAGTCCTCCGTCATATCTTATCAAGTCTTGGCAAAACCCACGCGTAAAGTGCGACGCGCCCAACTTGCCCACCTCAGACACCATGGAATGAACATGGCGACAATCCAGGCCATCGAGGCTCGCTCGGTATGACTTCTGATACTGCTCTACCCACAAATGTCTAACCATCGCGTTTGCTAGGTCCACCAAATCCAATCCGGTCAGGTCATCGTTGACCTATGTTCCGTCGCCAAAGAGCTCATTGAAAACAGTCTCGATGCTGGTGCAACCTCGATAGGTGGGTGATCTCAACTGGGATGAAGTGCTCGAAGACGTACTCTAACGCATACGGGTTCGACAGAGGTCCGATTCAAGAATAATGGGTTGGATCTGATCGAGGTGCAAGACAACGGCAGCGGGATCGCACCGGAGAACTATGAGAACGTTGGTGAGATTTTCCTTCACATTTGGAAAACCTTCAGTCTCCAGCTAATCAGTCTTCTGTGCGATAGCCTTGAAACACTATACCTCCAAATTATCCACATACGATGACCTCGCCAGTCTAAACACCTTCGGTTTCCGAGGCGAGGCGATATCCTCACTGTGCGCTCTGGCCGATTTCCACATCATCACCGCGCAAGCGCAGCAAGCCCCACGTGCGAATCGACTTGATTTCGAGCAGTCTGGGAAACTGCGCAAACCGCAGATCGTTGCTGGACAGAAAGGAACAACTGCGTCCGTTGAAGGGATCTTCAAGAGACTTCCCGTGCGCAGACGCGAACTGGAGAAGAATATTAAGCGGGAATATGGCAAAGTGTTGAATTTGCTCCATGCTTACGCTTGCATCAGCACTGGGGTCAAATTCAGCGTCAAGAATACCGTTGGCAAGACGCGGAACGTGGTGGTCTTTTCTACAAATGGGAATGCCACCACGAGGGAGAATATCGCCAATGTCTACGGAGCAAAGACGCTTTCGGCGCTGATTGCGCTGGATCTGGACTTGGAGTATGAGCCTTCTACTGCTATGAAGCGGGCCGGAGATGAGGGGCTCAATCGAATCCATGTCCAGGGTCATATCTCACGACCTGTCTTTGGCGAGGGACGGCAGACGCCTGATAGACAGATGTTCTTCGTGAATACGAGGCCTTGTGGTCTGCCGCAGATTGCCAAGGCCTTTAACGAAGTCTACAAATCCTTCAATGTTTCCCAGTCGCCGTTTATCTTTGCTGATTTCAAGATGGATACCGATGCTTATGATGTCAATGTCTCGCCTGATAAACGCATGATTCTGCTACACGATGCGGGAGCTTTGGTTGAGTCCCTTAAGGCGTCTCTTGCTCAGTTGTTCGAGGCTGCGGATCAGACGGTGCCGCAGTCACAGGTCAAATCCAAGGCTTCGGCAAAGCAACAACCACTAGCATCACTTCCTGGGTTTGTCACTGCTCGGCAGCTCAGCCAAAGCGCTGAAGTTGACAGCCCGACTCGAGGTCGGAGCAGAGATAGTCCAGCGGAGACACCTGTTGTTAGTCAGCCGAGTGCAAGCAAGCGAGTCATGAGCTCGCAAGAAGGCACAGAAAGCCCATCGCGAGCGACATCATCTCCAGCTCCATCTTTGAGAACGCCTCGTGCTGCATCAAAGCCTTCGCCAGCTCCGACTCCAATCCCATCTGCAAATGAGCCAGAATCATCTGCCGCTGAAACCACGAATAACGAGCCTTCTTCCCTGGTGGAAGAGGAACTGGAGGAGCAAACACAAGAAGACCCATCCTCCCAACCCTCAGCGTTAGATGAGATACCTAGTCACACACGCGGCGACCCAAATGAAGAGACACCAAATGTCATTCAGAATGCATTTGATAGAATGCGTCCTCGACGCATGCCTGCTGAAATGGCTACTATAACTATTGGCGATCGAACTGTCACTTCTATGGTTGGGAGTGGTTTACCGCGAAAGCGGGCATCTGTAGATCCACCTCCTATGAGACAACCGCCGCGGCGGAAGAGGCTGGTTCATACGCCATCACGGCCTAACATTTTCGGCAAGCATATGCAGGCGTTTGCTGCCCCGGGGTCGCAGGTTGAGGAAGACGATGAGGTGGAAGGAGAAGAAGAAGCAGAGGAGGACGTGGAAGGAGAAGAGGAGGAGGAGGAGGAGGAGGAGGAAGAAGCCGTGAGTGAGGCCGAGCCGATGGAGGAAGACGAAGAAGGCGAAAGCGAGATCGAGCAGACGCAAGAGACCCAAGATGGCGAAGAAGAACCCGATCCTTCACCGTCCGAGGACGCCGAGTATATTCCTGAAAATGCCCCGCCTGAACTGGGAGGAATGGAAGGAAACGAGACAAAAGCCAACCAAGATGATGCCGGCGCGGATGACGATCTCGATGAAGCTGAGAAGAAATCACGGGAAGAAGCAGTTGTTCACCGCTTGATCCATGAAGCTGAAGAGAATGCCGTGCTACCCCAGGAAAATAACGCCAGTCGTGCAAATAAGATGAACAAAGGCGCCGCCCATCGCGATGCCACTGTAAACCTCGTCAGCACAGTTGACGGATCCGTCTCAAGGCTTCAGTCCCAAATCGCAGCACTGCGCCAGGGTCTTCAAACACGTGCGAAGGCGACAGATCAAGAAGCTACCGACCTCGACGAGAAAACTGCCGAGGACCGACTGTCTCTCACTGTGAGCAAGAAAGACTTCGCCCAGATGCGCATCGTAGGCCAGTTCAACCTTGGATTTATCATCGCCGTCCGTCCAGCAAAAGATGGCGAAGAGCTCTTCATCATCGACCAACACGCCTCAGACGAAAAGTTCAACTTTGAACGACTGCAATCTGAAACAGTTGTGCAACACCAGCGCCTCGTTCGACCACAGCGCCTCGACCTCACCGCCGTCGAGGAAGAGGTTGTCCTCGAAAATCGAGCCGCGCTAGAGAAAAACGGGTTTGTGGTGACGGTCGATGAAAGCGGCGACGAGCCCATCGGTCGTCGATGCCAATTAGTCTCGTTACCACTCAGCAAGGAAATTGTCTTCGGCGTTCGTGACCTGGAAGAGCTCATCGTTCTGCTGTCCGAGTCTGTCTCGCATGAAGTCTCCGTCCCGCGGCCGAGCAAAGTGCGCAAAATGTTTGCTATGCGTGCTTGTCGGTCGAGTATTATGATTGGTAAAACTTTGACGGGGCGGCAGATGGAACGTGTGGTGAGGAATATGGGAACTATTGATAAACCGTGGAACTGTCCGCATGGAAGGCCGACTATGCGGCATTTGATGAGTCTCGGGCAGTGGGATGAATGGGATGAGTTTGAGAATGAGAATGAGAATGAGAGTGCCGGTTTGGATCCTTGGAGGCAGTACTTGGAGGCTGAAGGGGAAGAGGAGGTCGAGGAGGATGAAGAGGGAGAGGAAGAGTAAATAAAATAGCGATACCCGATACTGTGTGTTATAAATGTATAGTACGAACAGTCGAAGTCCAACACAAATGAACAGAGATCAAAAACAATCACCACCATCGCAACCAACTTCTCGTCTGCTGCTCCACCTTCTTCCCATTCCCATTTCCATTAACAATCCCATCACCATCACCACTGACAGCACCATCACCATCTCCATTCCCATCCCCATCTCCATCAACATCAACATCCCAACCATCCTCAGACTCACGATCCAACCCCGAATCACTCTCACTCCCGCCCCTCCCTTCAACAGAATCCATCATATCCTCCAGCGCCAACAAATCCTGCTCAATAAGTTCCGCCCAATTCTGCACATCCCCAATCTCCTTCAACCCATCCCGCGTCTCATCCGCAAACCCAAGCCATTGCTGATTCTGCCGCGCCAGCCGCTGCGTATTCTCTGCTAGTTCGGCTTCTTGTCTTTCCAGTGCTGCGGCGTTGGATTGGATATTTGCTGCTCGGTCACGGAGGGGCGCTTCTAGGTTTGTGCCCACTGAGTGCAGGGTTGCTGTGAAGGCTGCTAGGGCTTCTTTTTGGTGTTGGTCTGTTGTCGGACTGGGGGTTGAGTCTGTTGGAGTTTGGGGCTGTGGTGGTGGTGTGTGGGGTTGGGCTTGGTCCGCCATTGCTTTTTTGTGGTTTTACTTATGGGGATTGGTATACTATTGGTATGTGTATGTGTTGGTGGTCTGTAGAGAGCGATCTCGATTGAAGATTAAGCTTGAACCCCACCTGCCACATGGCTGGTCTGTGCTTTCCCCGCTCTAATCCATGGGTGGTTTGTTTATACTACGACCAGGGAGGTATATGGGGATGGAGTAGATTTGAGGCTGGAGGGCTGAGTCTCGTGGTTGTTGTCCTATTCAATCAAGAAACATACCAACCAGCCCTCGTGAAGTTTACTTGAAATGGAATTTATTGGTATTGACACCATGAATGAATTAAAAAGGGAATGTATTCCAGAGGCAAGAATGGTCAAGGAGATCAAGATTGCAAGCACAATCAGCCCACAAGACCAAATCACACTGCAGAGGAAAGTTGATCTCCGATCTGCTAACCCGCACAGGACTCCAAAGATGAGAGCTCTGAAGCCCGTGCAAGCAGTTCGGTTGCTGTCTCTCCCTCGTGCCCACAGAGATCAGCTGCCCGTCGAATCCAACACCACGACCCATCGCTTTCACAATTAACATACCTCGGCGAAGCACACTGGACTTTGTATAGGGGGGTAGTTTCACCCCCCCCCAACCCATAATTTCTGCCCATACACCACTGGCAAGCCATATTTGTGGGCGTGTCGACCGTCATGAGTACTTAGCGTTTTCCGCGTTCCCCTTGTGTTGAAGCCAGGGAAGCGTAGTCAGCCTTGTGTCAGTGACCGCAGTAAAAAGAAACGCGTGCAAGTAGTCCCGGCCCGAGACTGAAGGAAGATGGTTAGCTTGGAGGAGGGTAGGGGTGGGGGATGGGAGGGGTGGGGGATGGGAGGGAATGACTCACGTTGAGCTCGAACAAGGACGGATGGATGAGAAGGAGAAAAGAAAGAAAAAGAGAAATGGTGGAGGACTGGGCATTTATAGGCTGGGAAATTTGCAGAATTTCCCGATTTGGAGGGGTCGATAGAGACAGGCAACCACCTGCTGCGCAGGTCTGAACGTCGCTACACCCGGAGGATGTGAGATGGACATTGTCTTGTTCTCTAGCTTGATTTCTGGTTCTACGGTGGAAGTGAAACTGGGACTGAAATTGAAGCTGAAACTATTGATCTATTGGTATAGGCATGTATTCCTGCAGAGCCGATTGAAGGGAAGAGGCCACTTCACTCTTGCAATGCATTGGAACTTTTTGATATCCGGCCAGCTACTCAAGGATCGAAGAAATCTCAACCTTCGATCCTGCTTATTAGGACCAACAAGCAGGACACGACATCCAGCTCTGAGTTGGTGTCTCTGAGCTGGGATGTCGAGTAGCTGCTTGGAACCTCTCCCTCAGATCAAGTTTCCAACATCCCACAATCCAACCTTCCCACAGATTCCTACAAATCCCAGAAACTCCGACAAATCCCACATGCCAATACGCGAGCGTCATGTCTGATAATGTAAAAAGGAGGTCAGCATATTCCAAGCTTCGAAACATGAAGAAGGAGAGAGGGATGCGGGTGGCTCACAATGACGATGCATAGATGAGGAGAAGAAGAGGAAGAGAATCGGTGGACGAAAAAGCGAAGGGTTTTATAGTGGCCTCTCGAAATGCTGTCCACCTCAGGCTCGCCATCAAAGCAAAGATCATGTGCGCGCAATTTGCCTGAACAGCTTTCCTTACAGGCTACAATTTGCTAAAGTGTCTTGTTCACCACATAGGTTAGCTGCGTGGAAGTGTGGATTTTAATCTGGATGTCATATTAGGAATACTCGGGGAATCTCGACGGTATTGGTCATAGTGCATTTGTCATTTCATGATCTGTCCTTAATCTAGCAATGTATAACTAGGCAATACAAAATGCAACTCTACACATCATTGTGCCGACTTTTTTTGTTGGCAACATGCTTATATACAGTGAAACCCCAGATTGTTGAAGACACGGAGCTCGCTACCGTGTGTGGTTCATTGTCCATGTGGCGCCATTCCGCCTCCAACAGGACAGAGTACCACTGAGCAGCTTTTGCCTGCTGTGAGCTTCGCAAACTGGGATTGTGTGAAATTCCTTAGACATTTCGGCGCTTCCGGCTCTTCTGGGGCTCTGGTAGGTATCTCGCTACCACTGAGAACCCAGCAGCAAATAGAAGCATCAGAATCCAGATTGTATAGCCTCCCACGACTTGGGTCCTCGCGCCTATCGCAAAGAGGGCGGTGAAGAGAGCTGGACAGAAGGCCCTTAGCCCACTGACGCCAGTCAGGGCCAGCGCGTTCAGCGTACCCAAGACTTTCGGTGAGGGTGCGCTATCGTTGACAGCGAGTTGGATTGCTGTAAAACTCATGCTGACTCCACAACCGACGACCAACACCACCGGCACAAAGATCCAGAAAGCCTTGACAGACGCCTCGGTCCCTATCCGGAGGAGGACATTGCCTAATGGAAAGCACAGGAAGAAGAACGGATAGGCTGTAGCGCAGAGGCGTATCACCCCGTTTGTCCCGATCTTTCGCTGCAGTGGTGGGAAGACTAGGAGGAGCCATGCAGCTTGTGCGGCGCCGCTTAGACCCATCATAAGAGAGATTTGCAGTGGCGTGAAGCCGTATCCTCCTAGGCTCGCGGGCGTAAACCAGAAGACCGGAATAACGGCTGTGTATGCAAACGCCAGGACCATGATGTGGCCATAGGTGTAAATCACCATACCCACCCCTGGCGATTTCAAAAGCTGCCATGTAGAGAGGTCGCCTCTATAGACCGGCCCGTCGGAGGTTGTCTCCTCCTCGTCACCGTCCGTAGCATCAGGGTCTTTCTCTAACGTCTCTGTAACAAAGCAGGCACTAGATATAGCAGCGGTTGCTCCCACTAGTGCCACCACAAGACTCGATAACGCGTAGGGATAATTTTGGAAGAACCGGACGGCTCCAAAAACACCCGGGTACTGACGCGCCGGATCGGCAAGGGAACCACCTAGCAGAGGCCCTAGGAAGATACCCAAGTTTCCACTGAACGCAAACCAGCTGAAAGCCTGGGCTTGGGTCTTTGGCGTGCTGTGCTCGGCGATCATGGTGCGGATAGTGATGATGGTACCGGCGAAGACACCGGCGAGGCACCTAAACAGGGCCATCTGAGGGATAGTCTTTGCCATACCGAAAAGACCTGTAGCGAAGGTCACGCCGAATAACGAGAAAACTAGGACTGGCTTGCGCCCGAAGCGATCGGCTGCACGGCCCCAGAATATCATCACGATGGCTTGCGTGAGGGAGAATAATGACTCAATAAGGCCGCTGTAGAAGCCGACATCTGTGTCTGCAATGCCTCCGTTGCTTTGGATCATTTGGTTGACATACGGGAAGATAGAGAAGAAGGCCAGTGGCTCTATTATTCGGGCGTAGCAGAGGAGCAGGATTTGGACCTTGGGCAACGGCTTTCCCTCATCATCATCATCGGTGCTGTCGCCGTCCGGCGATGGCGAGTGGTCCCGAGTGTCAGAACCCAAGAGGGCTGTAGTCTCATCTACATGATTGTTCTCGGCAATTCCATTAGCCGAGTTAGGTCGGGAAGCAGTACGTTCCCGGTCATGGTCGCGCCTATCGGTCCCTGGCATTGGCAATGAGGTGTAAATCAAGGATATGCCACAGGTTGGATATGTGTTACGACATGTTCGGTCCATTTGAAGTTGATAGGAAAAGTGGGTCTCCCTGACATCACGTGTGATCTATGAGCATAGAATGCATATCCTCGCATCATCAAAGAACTCTTCTCTATTGTTTGAAGGTATACCGGATCTTAAGTTCGGAGGTCTCCCGACTGCTCATTTGAATATTCATAAGATCATGAAAGTGAATGGTGAGTGTCTACCGTCTATTGTGTGTTTGAAAAGCGAATTAACGAGCTTTAATCAGGTTATAATGTTACAGGTGAGAACTGATAGATTCATACACCTTGTAGGTGTCCTTATTCCTAACGTTCACAGAATTCATCAACACCGATGGAGCTTTCAATGTTACCAGGGTGGATATCCTAGATGAGCCAGTGGATGGATTTAACTTCAATGCTACCATTACTGTTCGCAATCCGAGCCCCTACATCGTGGAGCTGGTATGTCCTTTTCTTCTCACTGACAACACAACGACCATAATTAACACATTCAGGGGTATGTGACATTCAATCTGTCTATGGGTGGCTCAGACTTGGGCTACGTTGATCTTCCCTATCTATTTTTGGACAAAATCGGCACTACTACTGAAGTTTTTGGCTCGATCAATAAGTCAATGTTAATCCACGAGGCCGTGTTGGGTGATGACGACTTTGGTTTTGTGACCATCGACGTCAAGGGAACAGCTGCGATTTCAACGGAAAGGATATTCCATATTTTGCTGCAGCAATCAAAGCCGTTTCTGCGTCTGCAAGGCTCGACCTGCTGAAATACGCATCAAGTCTGTTCTCTGGCTCATAAGGTTGATGTATCCGTGGACCTTTTTATGGGCGATTCACCAGATAGAGGGTAGTTTTTCGATGCATTATAGACACAGTTTAATCTTCAGCATCTCCAGATAGAGTCAACTAGGTAGTTGCTATAGATTACAGACCTCTTCGGGCTGCTTATAAGGCTTGGTGATTTTCAACATTCTAGCCAAGATGGACAACAATTAAGTTACTTCGTCTAATGACCGACTTCAATTTTGACAGAGGTGATCAGACCCACTGGCAAATATCTTTAAATACATAGTGGTATTGCAAAATTTGAAGGCAGGCAATACTATCTAGATAACAACTACTGGCTTGGGCAGGCAGTAATTAGATGATACTGAACCTGGATGGCTTTACTAGGATTATTGAGCACGGTGTGGATAAATTTGAAAAGCAGTAGACGTTTCTTCTTATTCAATTCTTACTTTTGAAGGGACGAATTGTAGAACGGAATGCTATATCTAAGAAATACCAAACAAAGCATCCAAAAAAAAAAAAAAAAACATTCAGAATAACGAAATGCGAGTATGCAATGGCTGGATCCTAAAAGTTAGTCAATAAGTTTCGCCGAGACAGCCGGTTCCAAAATTCTCTGTACTTCCAGTGTCACGGTGTCCCTTCCAGTGGTTATGAGTTCCTTCGGGCATCAGACCCTTATCCTCAAGCCTAAGCATCAGGTACAAAACCCACCACCGACAGCTCTGTTTTGGAAGAGCCAAAGCTTCTTGGACTACTGTAATGCCCTCAGATACTGGGATCCGGCAGAGAAAGTCTTTAGTGCCGATACCCCAACTATTGAATCTCTTTCCTTCTTCAATCTCGGTCCTACGATTGCCTCGAAAACCTTCACAGTGAAGCCACGTGCATCGTTCTGCGCCTGGGTGGGCCATCATCATCATCCAGTGGATAGGAGGGTCTTCTGGGTCTTGTGGCTTGCAAATTGCCAGGTAGAGGTCAAGATGGTGCCGGTCGATGGACGCCATGTTTATTTGTGATCTACAGTAAGTAGACTAGATAGGATGAAGTAATCGTTGCGATGATTGTTTTGAGGATTGTCGTGGAATTAATTTATGCAGCCGACTTGGTTGCTTTTATACCTAGGCAATTCCCAGTTGACCACTCTCAAAGAGAACAAAAGACGTGAAAATGGCTTTTTACAAGTCGCCCTCGCGAAAGATCATGGGCTAAGCCGAGTCAAAAAAAAAATGGTAATATCATTGAAAGAGGTGCAAAAGATAAACAATGGGCTTTGTGACCATCATTGTTTCTTTCCCCTCTAACAAAATAGTATGACCTCATGGGCAGGGTCAGCGACGACTTTAAATTCTGCAAATTCCATTACTTCTTACCACCAGGTTCAGTCATTTCATAGTACCCGTCGCTTTCTAGTACTCTCCCAACATCATGCCAACCAAGCTAACAGAAGCAACTGGCGCTGAGCTGACCTATCTCACACACCATAGTGCATTTCAGGAATGTCTACATAGAGAACTTAAGGCTATCAGAGAACGGAAGGTAACCACCCCAGAACGTCGCAAGGTAGCTATTGAAGTAATAGCTAACCTCATTGATGATCTACCCACTTTACTCAAGAATGGACTTGACATGCACAAGAAGATGCCGCAGTGTCTTACGGTAACAGAGAAGCCTGTAGGATACTTTGCCATTTCTAAGTCTATCTTTGAGAAAAAGCTAGAGTCTTTGGTTGATGTCCTTATTGCTCTCAGCCGCGACCTCCGCACTGATCAGGACGGGAATGGCGGAATGCATAACCACTATAAAGCCTTGAAAAGGACCAAAGAGCTGATTTAGATAGTTGGATTCAATTGATATGATTTGCTTTTACCACCGATATTAATATTGTAGAAGCATAAGTAGTCAAAGTAGCGTAACATCAATAGATTGCCAACAACTCTAGCGATAGTCTAAAGATTACACCCAACGCTAGGGGACGGTAAATCGGACCCTGAAAAGGCCTAGTTGTAACGCCATTTTAAGCGTCCTATTTACCAGATTCAATAAAACAGCACGCCACTTGTTTCGGCCCGTTTTTACTTTGTGCTCACTGAGTGCTCAGTGATCACAAGTAGGGAAGCGATTTGCAAACCGGAATTTTGGTTGCACCCTTCGCGGTGGTAATTCAGCATTGTGCCTGAATCAGTGTAGAGATGATCCAAAACCACCATCAGGCTGTAACGACACAACAAATGTCGCTCATTCTTGCTCTAGGCGCGCTAGCTATCTCGCAGTTGCCGCCCCAATGCTAGCCTTCTATTACGGGCCTCTTTCTCGGCTCTTATAGGCCCAATGATGATAGTTGCTTCGCGGGCTGCATATGCAACGTCGTCAAGGGAATAGCTTAGACCAGTTGACATGTCAGGGAAGTGCGGGAAGCACTCTTCTCCGCCTTGTCCTGTTGTTTCCAGTCTCAAGTACTCTCGGAATGACTTGCAGGCGGGTAAGGCGACTGATTCATTTCGGGGAACCGACTAGGTGCATATGGTGTACATATATCCATGCTAGCTCTCTGTTAGTGCGGTTCTCCCAATTGAGTTTGGATTAGCGTGTTTATTGTATTTTGACCCACAGTGTGGATAGGAGATCTCTCAGGGGTAGAAGCTTGAGAAAGACCAAGACCAATATGGGGTGTCACACCCCAAGAAACAATGTGGTGCGGCCCGATGGAGACAAATCGTAATTCAAACAACTGTTTGGGTGGCTGTCGCTACAGTGCTTTTCCAGATACTATGGCCTGTGTTTTGAACCTGCTGCTAAGAGACTACATTTGCCCATGTTCTGGCTCGTTTTATTTAGGGGATTGATACTGCCCATGAAACCTCCGGTGTCTTGGCAATATGCAGTTGATCACCTGGACAACCGCTCATATGAGAGAGCTATCCATACTTGTGATCGACTTGTGAGTATCCGAGAACGATGATATAAGCCATTGCGCCAGATAGATTTAGGCACGGAACATGTAAAGAAAGCTGAAGCTATACAATCGACCTCGGGGATACCTTTTCTCTGCGGCGCAGCATTCAATAGCTGTGCTGTGACATGGAGCTAATGCACGAGCTGTGCCTTACAGGGATCCCAAAATGGGGGCCAAAACCAAGTCTTGCTTAAGATCACTGAGAGCTGGAGACTTGCAGCAGGAATTTATCTTTGCTCGGAATTCCTATCACAATTTTCTTGTTACAAACCACTTCACCTCCGGTGACCACAATGTCGCCCTCTAGTGAAGAATACGCCTTGAACCAACTGCAGGTGGAGCAGTCGAAACTACTGGACAAGATTGACGAGTTACGCAGCCTTGGTATCGGTGGCCTTGTGGAGTTACCTCAACTCATTGTCTGTGGCAACCAGTCAAGTGGAAAGAGTTCCGTGCTGGAAGCCATCTCCAGAGTGCGTTTTCCAGCCAAGGGAAATGTCTGCACCCGATTCGCGACCGAGGTCATTCTTCGTCGCAGTCCACAAGCGCGAGTCAAAGTATCTATAGAACCGGGCGCTTCACGCACCGACAATCAAGAGCGAGCGAAGCTCCAAGCCTTCAATTCCGAGTCGTTCTCCACCAGTGACGACCTTCCCAAATTGATCAAGGAGGCTGAAGAATGCATGAGGATTGGTGGTGGCCAACTCTCCACAGCAGGCTTCAGCGATGATGTTCTCAAGGTCGAGATCTCTGGCCCCGAAAAGCCAGAGCTCAGTCTGGTTGACCTTCCGGGGCTCTACAGCTCCGTCAGCGATGACCAGAACGAAGAAGGAATGATGTTAGTTGAGCAGTTGACTAAGAAGTACATGGAGAATAAGCGGAGCATCATCCTTGCTGTCATCAGCACGAAACTTGACTATCATCACCAGCGGGTCTTGAACCTGGCAGGGAAAATTGACCCAGGGCACGAGAGAACACTTGGAATAGTGACCCAGCCCGATACTCTCTCACCCGGCTCGGAAGAGGAAGAAACCTATCTGAAGTTCATCAAAAATGAAAAGATCAATCTACAGCTCGGATGGCATGTACTTTGCAATCGGAAGTTTGAGACGCGTAACACTTCGGACGATGAGCGAGACCGAAACGAACGCGATGTTTTCGAACAGGGACGATGGGCTTCACTTTCTCGTGAGATTGTGGGAATCGACAGCCTAAGACGTCGCCTGAGCAATATTCTGCTGAAGCACGTTCGCCGCAGCCTCCCAGATCTGATCTCGGACATACAGAACAAGATCTCAGGTCATGAACAAAAGCTAGCAAAGATGGGCACCGCACGGTCAACCGTTAGAGATCAGCGAGGATTCCTTGTCGACATAAGCAGCAAGTTTGGTCGCATTACAGACCAGGCTCTGAACGGAATGTATTCCGATGATTTCTTCGGCGGATTCGACGATCAGAAAGCGAACAAGGAGGATACCCACGATTTCCGTCGATTGCGGGCAGTCATTCGTGAGATGAATGAGAACTTCGCGGAAGCCATCAGTATTCGTGGCTGCCGAAGAATCATCCGTCTAACTGATACAAGTCTCCCCTTTCCAACCCTTCAGCAGCAAAGGTCTAAACCTTATATGAATGACTGGGTACCTGAATACGTCAATGAAGCGACCCTTCAAGACGAAATAAAAGAACAGGCAGTCAAATACCGCGGTATAGAGCTTCCAGGAAACGCAAATCAGATGCTGGTGGGGAGTTTGTTCCGTGACCAGTCCGAGCCCTGGGAAAGCCTTGCTGAGGCTCATTTAAAGGATGTCTGGACCTCGGTCAACTATTTTGTTGGCCTTGTCCTCCAGCATCTAACGGATCAACACACTTACCCTTTACTGATGCGCGACCTTATCATCCCCGAGATGGACCGCTTGAGAGCCCGTCTGTTCGAAAAGCTTCAAGAATTGACCTCCTACAGGAAATGTGGTCATCCTCTGCCCCTGGGAAAGAACTTCCTTTCCACGATCCAGGAGTCGCGCAAAAAGCGTCAACTCGTCGTGTTGAAAAAGGAGCTTGGTCTTGTTGCATCCCCATTCTTCCCAAACGCAGATCTCGATAAAACCTTCAATGCCAGTGATCTTGACCGAGCAGCTTCTCAATTGCAGTCATCCAGTGACCAGTTTGCAGCTGCTGAAATAATTGATCAGATGCAGGCCTACTACGATGTGAGTATGCTACATTGTCAAGGTACCGAGCAATCTCTCACAAGCCCCTTTTTAGACCGCTATCGTGACTTTCATCGACAACATCGCGATACTTGCAATTGAGAACTGCTTGCTCCGACCCCTAGAGCACATTTTCACTGGCCAGTCTATCATTGGCATGGAGGATGCTCAGATCCAGAGCATTGCAGCAGAGCCGCCCAATGTCGAACTCGATCGTAAACGTCTAAACGAGGAATTGAACAAGTTGAATGCAGGCAGGCAAACCCTCAGCGCCTTCAGTACGGATGGCCCTTCGATGCCATCTCGGCCTGTCTTCGGTATGCTTACCCCAACGTGAGATTTGTTGCCTCTCAATCTAACAGAGCTTATCAATTAGCCTCACAGTTGGCGTCTCGGTCGGAGAAATCTAGCCCCTCACGTCAGGCGAACAGGCCTCAACAAGGTGAGTACTCGGGGCCTTCGGCGTATTGTCGCCATTTCCTATTTTGAGCCAGAGCCTTGCCATTAACTGAAAAACTAGGGACTTCAAGTAACGGTAGTTCATACAGCGGACCTACCGCTAACTCTAGCCGACAACAAACGCAAAATAATCCCAGCTCAGGTCTCTTCCAACAGACTTCAACGGCCACCAGTAAGCAAACAATGGAACTAGAGCAACAGAGAACTTGCTGACCTGGCAATAGGCAAGCCACCTCCGAGTCCTTTTGCAGCTCCTAGTCCATCACCGTTTGGAGGAAGCTCGAATGCCAAGGAAACCCCTTTTTCTTCGAAAGTATTCGGTGCTGGAAAAGGCAGTAGTGGAAGTGCTCAACCGACGCCTAACCATGGAGTTTTTAACACGTCACTGAGTGGGTTTGCAAGCCCATTCAAGAATGGATCCAACGGCGGACCTTCTGGTCAGGGACCCAGACCATTTGGAAGCACTTCCAGCCCAAGTGGTTAGGACACCGTGCAATATTAGCTTCGATATCACTCTCTGGAAGGCTAATGTCGTTGGTGGAGCTATTAAATTCCTCCATGCTTGACGATCACCTTCTGCAGTGGTTGACACTATATTTTCGCATGGACCAATAGGTGGAGAAACATGAGAAGAGTTCTACGTGTACTTTGCAGGTAAAATAGTTTCTCCAGCAGTCCGTATAAATATCTTTGCGGCAACCTTAGTAACTGCATATCATTATACAATCCAGTGTTTTGTACTTCACATGATCCTCCATGCTTCCCCTCGTTGTCGCACCTGTATATTTAACAAGATGCAGGTATGTGGACGCTGCCACGATATTTTCCATCATATCGTGTAAGTCCGTCATAGTATAGTCCCGATATGTAATTCCCAATCGTAATTTTATTGTTCTATACGAAGTCTTCCTTACGTGCTCTACGCCTCTACCGGGTTCCTCTACCTTTTATGATACGATCTTCCCCCGGCGATCGTCTCAAGAATCTACCGTGAACGTACTTTTCGCTCCGCCTTGAGGTATAAGCCTCAGTCCCACGGCTAAAAAGTGGGGGTCGTGGGGGCCGTTCGGTATAAGTGGAGGGCGGGAGGCGGCTCGAGCCTCTGGTTGATGGATAAACGAAAAATTAGATTAATTCCACTGGAAATGGCATACCAGTCCCAGTTCTGCTATTGCCGACAAGTTGTCTCATAGAACGGTTTTCGGCTCAGGCAAAAATGTCCACACTTTGATGGAGTACAGGATAACTGAAGATGTTTTCACTCATGGTGCTACCCTCCACCCACACCCGGCGTTTGTGTGACTGCCTTCGGATCAAGCTGCCTAGTTGTCCTTTGATTCAGGCTTCGGAGGCCCAACCGACAAATGGTGTAAGAGAAGCACTAGAATCACATTAGCATCATACCAAACTATCCGCTTAGAGCATGATTAACGAACAAGCGAGCAATATTAATGTGAGCGCAGGAAGTGTCCAGGGCGTTGTACCCAGGTTCCCTGCCGCATCGGTTAAGACCGAGGTGCTCAGCAGAGCAAGACCCAGCCCAACGAGGATGTTGGCACCAATACTGATATACCGCAAACGGGAATAACCAGCGTGATGTCTGAGTGACAGTAGCGTGAGGATACCTATTATCAAACACACAAGGCCAACGCATACGCAGAAGTACCCTGGTACAAAATATTGGTTAGACTGGCGGCTTTTGATAGAGGACTGAAAAGGGATGGAGGAAATATGATGAAATACCAAAGGTAAGGTTGAAAATTGATACGATCGAGTTTCCATATGCAGTAAAGTCCTCCTCGGGTACTTCTTTTGGTGGTTCCCAGCCAAAGCCTTCAATGATGGTTTTGGTCATCTCGCTAAACACGAGTTTGACGTCTGCTAGTGTCTCCTCCGTGTTGTTAGCATCACCGTTCAAGACTGCATTCAAAGACTTTTCGACCTCGTCAAACACGGCTTGTGTGGAGGGGTATCTCTCGTAGACAGTATGAACTGTTTCATTCAGCGTAGTGAGCAGATCCTGTGTCGGGGCCTCTTCTGAAAACAGAGCCGTCAGTTTGAAAAGGTCTTGAACGACGTGAGCGCACAATAGGATCTGATTTGTCCCTTCCATCATGAGAGCGAGAGCCAGATGGAAAGGGAAATGGAGTATTGACCATAGCTGCTGGCGGACGGAGCCAAATGGCTCCATACGGACATTATCGAAATATATTTGATAAACAAAATACTGTCTTAGGTATTAGTATTTCTGCTTTAGTCTCTGGGAGTCGGGGTTCCTACAATGACCAGTACTGCCGATATAATAGAGCCAATATCAGCAGCGGTGAATTTGAGGTCGAAGGTCTCAATCTTGACAATTGTCTTAGTCAGGCCAATGATGCCCTCGCCGAGCTATTCCGGTTAGCCTCTGATTTCTGAATTTTGATTTGGAATGGCACCAGACAACGTACGATGATCAGTGTCAGGCAAGTCAACCTCTCCACGAGATGTGTTTTCTCAAATGACATAGCTTTCCATTGGGCTGCAAGGGCCAAGTTAACCCCAACTTCTATCACAGCAACCACATACCACGCGACATAGGCATTGTAAGCCGTTCGTCGGTAGAAGGCAAATGATACACCAAGATAGATGAAGGCGGCAATGAATAGGGACACCATCACTGCTATCAATGGTACACGGGTGGCGCGATACCTCCAGGCAAAGAACAGAGTTGAACCATATTGACAGAATAGAACCACGCGGCTCGCCATTAGGATAAGTGACAGCTGCTGCAGGGGACCCCACCCCTCAGCTTCCATCAAAAATTCGGGTCCGATGATCGCGAGCCCAACCATAACTCCGAAATGGCATGCATGGGCGACACGTTCCAGAACACTGTCTGTGGCGAACCGGACATCGTACAAAGTCACTTGGGCCCAGGTAAACCACAAGATGCAGAAGAAACCGACGTAAGAGGCCATTTCTGCGGGTAAAACGCAGAAGTTAGCTATATGACGAGTCCAGTCAAGGAATCGGGGACAGACTCTGTGAGCTGTTGATCTCATGGGCATTTGTGAATGAGGTCAAATTAGCAACGAAGAAGAGATCGAAAAACAGCTGAATATTGGAGGTTGCTTCATAGTGCTCAAACTGAGGGTTCTCAAAGAGCGTCTCGTCTTGGGTTGTAACGTCGGCCACGCCTTCGACTGTTTGACCCAGCCGGTCATTTGGCTGTGACTAAGGACCGGTCAGCTTCTCAAATTGAGCCAGTCTGGTGGCTGGTTACCAATGGGCTTCTCCATAGAGGTAGCCCACCCATGTTGTTGAACAGAGTATTGGGTTATATCGATGTTGGAGGCTGAAGATTGTTGTCCTTTCAGATACTTTAGCAACTATGCCTTTAAATATATGAGAATGAGCCTCCCAGAAAAATCATATCCTCCTCTGAGGCACGAGAATACGAGGGAAATGACGGAATGAGCCGATCTAGGGTCCGCATTTAGGCCCCCAGTTTCAGCCGCAACTATACGATACGTTCACTTAGCATCCAAATGCATAAAACTAATTATAATGAGATGACTTGGCCCTCTATGATTCGTATTGAGGCTCGTGCCTTACGCGCTAATGTTCGGATGGATGATTTGATCGACAGTCTCACGCGCTCTAGATCACTAAATACTAACGTTTAACTCGCAAGCCAAGTTAGAGTTTATGTTTTAAGTTTCAAATAAGCTCAATATCCTTAGTGCTTACCACTGGGGCCAGTAATCACGGCCAGTTTTAAGTATTGGTCAAGCTTTCCACAAGGCTTACAAGCCAGTAAGCGCCACAGATCTTCCTCCTGGCCCCTCCAAATACAATTTATTACGGACCTTCGCTGGTCATTTTGAAGCGGCCAGTTATAATGCGGGCCTGTCCTTGTCCATAGCCTTATGCTATATATAGCTACCACACACATGGGGGCGGTGGGAAGTCTATGTATCCAAGGTTTGGCCAGGAGCTTACCCGCCCCACTATGAGCGTGGATGTGGACTGTGAAAGGGAATGAACGCGGGTACCACATCCTAAGCCGCTGGCGAAACCCCCTACTGTCCGTGAAATTTTGGGGCGTGGGCGAATCGCCAGCCAGGGCGCGGAGTTTATGAGGCATCACAATTGGGAAACTAGGAAACACGGCAGACAGATGTCCACGAATGTGGACTTGCTCGGTTCAGAACATCGTTTTGCTTTCAGTAGATACAGAGGGTGCGAAGGTGATAGGAACTGCATGTGGCTTGACAGCTAGATTAAGAAGGTATTGTTATATAGCCAATCGATTTCAATGCTCGCCCTACCTTCTTTACTTAGAGAAAGATATTTTAACCAGCAGCTTTTCGCCCTTGTTTTTAAGCTTCAAGCTGCCTGCTATTCTCCTTTTCCCATTGACCTTTGCGTTTTCAGCGCCAGTCAAGTTTGTGCCTCTTCATCTACGACGTTCTTGCGCTACTATTTGTACGGCTGCTAGCGTGCGCTGTTCGGTGGCATACGGCTGGTGAGAGGAGAAGTTTTTCCAACGTCAACGTGCCGAAACTTTCAAAGGAGGGTTGTTGCACCCATGTGTCGATAAAAATTATCGCTGCTAGCTTTTGTTGCAATTAGCTAACCTCTCTGGTTGACGGGTGTGGTCTTTTTTAGTGTGTATAACCAGACCTCAGCCATGGTAGCTGGGCATAGTGAAATGCAAAGAAAAGCATTTTCCTATCCTACACAATACCGATTCACCGACTTCCTGCTCAAAATTTGCAGGCTATCCTATGGCTATATAGTACCGAAAATATTATCTCGAATAGGAGGAGCTCTAGTCTAAGCAATTTGTGCCACGTTCCTGTGGATGGTGGTAATGGCTACAGCCTTTGATATTGATGATCTAGGAGGCTGTCCGTGCTCTGCTCAAGGTCAGATCGTAAATGAAATTATTGAATAGATAATGGTAGGCTGGGAGCCAGCCTGGGTCATGGATGTTCAGGGCGGTAAGTTGTAGCCGTAAAGGCTAGTGTGGATCTTCGGGATAGGTATATGAGTCCGTAGCCCACATCCAACCAGGGGTGGTAGTGAAATTGATGATAAGAGATACATTAGGGGTATTCGCCAGGAGATCAAGCAGCGTTCGATCCGCGTAAGTAAAATCGAAGCTAGTCGACCAGTGAGTCTTATTCAACACCGGTGAATCGATTTCCGGCACGCTCATCTTGGGGTACAGAAACTACGGAACATAACGGACGTAGCCTGGAGCAACAAGGCGCAGGGAATCCAAAGCATTTGTTCGAGTAGTACTGTCTGGCAGTAAGTGGGGTGGGTTTGCAACGGATTGTAGAGTTGCCGGTGTTCTGCACTCGATCTGGGCATCATCCCATTGGATATCGACTGTCAAAGTGTCCCTGTGTTGGAGAGCTGCACAGTGCCGAAGCTGCAAAAGCAGCAACTTGGAACTGGGAAATCATCTCGAAAGGGACTTTGCTTTTGCTCTTTCATCATTACCTTCTGGAACTCCCTGCTTTATGTTTCCCTCTGCTCGTGTCCCTATCTGCACACCGCCAGCTCAACTCAGTGATTAGACCCCTAAATTCTATACGACAGTGATTGAATGTAACTTCACCATAAAATGTCTCAAGCATACGAGAGGCTTGAGTGCAATATCGTCAGTGCTCGGGCTTTTCATATATTGACAGGTCCAATACCGAAGCCAACATCGGCACGGGAGCTCCTACTATCCGACGTTGAGGGTTTTAAGTAGCGCCCGGTGGCGCTCTGCAACCTAGTCCGAAGCCCCCTGAAGCCCCCTGAAGCTTGTCCTCCACCACCCGCGGACCCCAGAGTATACATTGATCGGCATGTGGGGTCTTCTCGCGGGGAAACCTTGGAAGAGTTCTGCTTTACCCCGGTCTATTTCGGGCTATTATTAACCGAGCCGTCGATCTCGGGCCAAAAGAGAGCGAGGTACCATGGGGTGAAATCATTGAAATGGTGGAGAACTCCTGGGGCCCCGGATTCTACAATCTCTCCAGTTTTCCTATCGAACCAACAATATGGGCCAACTACGAGGAAGGTATCTACACTGGGCGGTGACAGCTGCAAGCTGTCAAGCCTTTCTTTTACTGGGCTATGACCAGGGCGTGATGAGCGGGCTGGTCGGTGCAGACAACCAGTTTGGGAAAACGTTCAACAACCCCGATAGCACGATGCAAGGGTTATTGACTTCGATCTATGATATCGGCTGTGCAGTGGGCTGTCTCCTGAGTCTGGTCGTCGGCCACCGTTTCGGTCGACGCAAGATGATCATGGCAGGTGGCTCAATCATGATTATTGGCACAATCATCCTCGGCAGCTCTTATACTACAGCCCAGTTCCTCGTCGGTCGTATTGTGACCGGGCTTGGGAACGGTATTAACAGCAGCACTGTTCCAGCCTACCAGTCCGAACTAGCCCGTCCGGAACTTCGCGGTATGCTTCTATCTGCACAGGGCACCGTGACAATCCTCGGTCTGTGTATTGCATACTGGCTAGACTATGGACTCAGCTTCGTGGATACACCTGTTCAGTGGCGGTTCCCGATCAGCTTCCAGGCATTCTTTGCTGTCTTTTTGGTTTTGCAGATGATTCCGCTTCCTGACTCGCCCCGTTGGCTCTGTGAGCAAGATCGGAGTGATGAGGCTGCCTCTGTTCTGGCTCGTCTTCAGGTGGCTCAACCTGCCAACGAGTCTCATCCTGATGTCGTTCATCTACGTCGTCAGATTGAGTCGTCTATTGAGATTGAGTCTGCTGGTGGTCCTTTCAAATATAAGGAGCTTTGGTCGGGTGGTCAGATGGGCAACCTTCGTCGGATGATTTTGGCCGCTGTTGTCAATATCCAGCAGCAATTTACAGGTATACAATCATTTTTCATGGGTTGATAATCATTTTACTAAGTATTTTAGGTTCCAACATGATCAACTACTATGCACCTATTGTCTACCAGGTACGTCCCTGGCAAGATATATATTTTAAGACTTTCTAACGTTGATCCTATGATAGAACGCCATGCATTTATCCCGCAACCTATCCCTGATCCTCGGCGGCTGTACCTCTCTCGCATACCTCGTTGGATCAATAATTCCTCTATGGAGCATGGACAAGTTCGGTCGCCGAGCATCACTCATGTTTTCCGCTGCCGGTCTCTGCTTCTGCTTCGTCATGACTGCCATTCTCCTATCGATTGGTACAACACCATGTGCATACGCAGCGACCGTGTTTGTGTTTGTATTCCAATTGTTCCTCGGCATTGGATATTTGCCAGTTCCATGGTGGGTTATTTATCCTTCATTCCTGTAAAGTCTGTCTCTGACAGAATTATAGGTTCTATCCTTCTGAAATCTCAACTACACGGATTCGAGCACGAGCTCAAGCATTCGGTGGTTTCGTCAACTGGATTTGCGTTTGTGAGTCTGATTATTGGTTGCCCCATTGAAATTATGTGTCAGTACTGACCTTCACAGTCATCGTCGTTCAAGTAACGCCGACAGCTATAGATAATATTGGATGGAGAACATTCATCATCTTTGCCTGTTTCTGTTTTGCATGGGTAAGTCAGCCGTCACCTGTGCTCATTTCAATTAATGAACTAAACTAATGTGGTCTAGATTCCTATGGTCTATTTCTTCTTCCCCGAGACCAAAGGTTTGGAGCTCGAGGATGTGGATCACCTCTTCGAGAAAGGTGGTATTACCGGCGGTGTATTTGAGACTAGAGGATTCCCCGTTTATCCTGGATATCATCGGACTATGAATGCCGAGAGGATTGAGAAGCAAGCCGAGACTGAAACTACTCATGTGGAGGTTTAAATAAGGAAGAAGGGATCAACAAATTGAAGGAATCTCATTTTGTAACCTGCCGGTATTCATGAAACTTCCTCCACATGTGTTGAAAGACGTTTCCTATGTATGATAAAAATACAAATCCCTAAAATGCACTCAGGCGTGAACTCCACGCAGGTGGCTCCGCAAATGTCTCTTCAGCTTCCGGGTAGAAGTCTTCTCGGTGCTCTCATACACACTCAGTGCAGCACTACCACCACAAATCTGCGAGTCATCGCCATTGCACTTCATATCACACTTCTCCTCCCCAATCTTGACACTTCCCTCCAGTTTGTCGCCACAGAAACATTGACCCGCATATTCAGTTCCAGCCAAACTGAAGCCTGCTTTGGCGCAGTAATCTGTGCAGGCTGTTGAAGTGACTTTGCCGACACCGAGGTTTGCAAATTTGATTCCTGTCAGGGCGCGAGCAGATACATTATCCGAGTAACAGCCAAGGTATGACCAGCCGGAGATGGAGCTGTCTGTTCCGGTCGAGTCTGAAGGTGCAGCAGTTTTGACATTGGACTGAGCAGTAGTTGTGACCGAGACGCTCTCTCCACTAGGCGAAGTAGAAGGCACATCCTCTGCACCCTGACCCCATCCAGTTGGGGGATTATCACCAGGCAGCTTATCCAGAACACCTGAGATGGGCTCGATAATCTGATTGGCGATATTGCAACTCGTCGACGGATCATTGATGAATCCAGCATCAGCACACTTATCCATACCCGCATCACCAGCATCGCAGTTATCAATGATCTTCTGCAGAACAGCCTCATCCCAACCGGCAATCTAAGCATTTACACGTTAGCCCACATCCTCTCATATGCACTGAAATAAAACTCACGAAATCCCCATGAAGCGAATACCCAGTCCGATCCCCATTACTCAAAATAAAAGGTTGCTCTCCCATCCCCGGCGTCCACAAATCCTCGAAAAGCGGCGTATTCCAATAAACCTCGTAAAAGATATGAGGAACATGAACCCACCCTTCCGGACAATTCGCCTTCCCCCCCGTAGTCCCCTTACTACTAGGCCAAGCCATATTATTCTTATAATCACGCAGCCCAGCAGCGGGATTATAACAAGACGGGAAATGGATATCGGCACGCAGAGGCGACGCATACCCATCACAATTAACATGCGGGAATCCAGCGCCCTGACCTGCGTTATTCGGGTCTTGGATTCCGACGCCGTGGAGTCCGTCTGAGGATGCTGGGTAGGAGGGTGGGTTGTAGGATTTGCGCGGACAAGTCCATTGAACGGGTTGGATCACTCCTTCGTTTGTGTCGAGGACGTTGGATGCACCGCCTGCTGGGGGTGTGCGTAGATCTTTGTCGCCGCTGAGCATGCGTAGACCGACTGGGAAGGGTTTTATCTCGTCATCCGTTGCTTCGAAGAAGTAGTAGACGTTCATGTAGAACATTGGGACGGAGAGGAAACTTCCGTTACTGGCTTGGAAGTAGAGGGACGGTGTCCAGTAGTTGCTTTTGTCGGCATCTACGCGGGACGAGGTGCAGTTTGAGGATGGGAGAGCGTCGTCCGTCATTGTCAAGTTGAAGTTGCTTCCGCCTTGGATCGTGTGGACGTGAGACGCTGCGACGCCTGGGTTGGTGATTGGGTCCATACGGCCAGTTACTAGGGCACCCTTGCCGTAAAAGTGGTTTACGGCGAAGGTCCGGCTTTCTTTGGCTTGGATGGTTGTCGATAGGCCAGCTATCATGGCGATGATTGTCTTGTGGTGCATGTTGGCGGTTTTTGGATGAATGGGTCCAGATGTAGGGAGAAAAGAAGGACTATGCGCTGTCTAAAGATACAGCAATGCAGAAAGGAATGAAGTCTCGTGTACCGGCTCGAGAGAGAAAAGCGTGAACGCTGTTGAGGAAATAAAATGAATAGGCCATAGAATCATTGTTATATAGACGCCCATTGTGCTCGTTCTCGGTAAATAATGTCAATCATGACCAGGATGAATCTCGGTGGGAAGTTCATTTCATTGACAGAGAAGGACCAGGCTCAAAGCCAAGAACTCCACAGTCTGTTCACAGGCAAGATTGTAGCGCCAGGATCGGGGGAGACTTGCCCCGGTGCCTTTGTACGCAGATGAAGCAGTGCCGGACTGCAATTGCCGGCCACTCTGAAAGCGCCATGGCGTAGGGCTAATGAGATCAGGGGACTCCTTTGGACCCTTGGGTGTTTCAGGATAGCTTAATATGAAACGCGGGCTACGATTGGAGATTCACCATTTACTACGAAGGGTAAGAGTAAATACATACGAGAACGAGTAGATTAAACACACTGGAAACACCAGATGACTTCTGGGAATTATCGAATTGATGCAGGAATGATTTTATGGGGCAAATGAGCATATCCAAGAAAATTAAAGGCCGAAACTGAATCGCTGGGCAAACCTCTCATCCATGCATAAAGTCGCTCGAAATAAAATAAAAGGGACCAAAACAAAATATTAATAACACATATTGGTCCAATGAACTCCATATCCAAACAGTGCTTGAAGCACAGAAAATCAAAATATTTGTGGTGATCAAAGAACACCTGAAAGAACAGCCTCGGTGGCGGAGTTGATGTAAGGCCGCTTGGCATCGAGGTTGACACCGAAACGTCTCTCAAGTTCCTGCTTGACGGTCTTCTTGGAGATCTTCATCAAGTCGCCAGTCTCCAAGATCCGGCGGATCTCTTCCAGGATCTCATCATCAGGGGGCAGGTGGCTGAAATCTTCCATGCCCATGTCCATGTGGCTCATCATCTCAGACGGGGCGACTGAGTAACGAGAGCCCATGCCAAGAGGCAAGTCCAGCTGCGAGTGGGGACGCGAAGCTGGGAAGCCATACTCGGACTGGGGGAAGGCGTGCGACTTGGTGCCGTAGGAGTGAGAGGAGAACTCGGATCGGTCGTCGCGGGAGGTTTGGGCATCGGCCATGAGCTCGGCCTGGTGGTCCAACAGCTTCTTCTTGGGGATGGAGTTGGGGTCAAACTTTCCTTCGTCAGAAATGACGACTTTGCGACCCTTTTCTCCGGTGATGACACGCGTGTTACCCCAGGAGAAGTCGTCCATGTTCCAGAAGGAATAAAGCGGTAGGGCAAGAGAGAAGACAGGGATGGCCAAGAGGTAGATCAACATCCAGCCGACCATCTCCCACTTGCGTCGGATGATGAAAATCAATGCTTGCAGACCGTAGATGACACCGAGGAGAATGAAAGACGTGATAGGGAGCACGTCTGGTTCACTGACACACCAGTAAATCAGATAGACGATATAGGCGACGGTGACAGGCTGAATAATGGTCATGAGAAGATCCATGAGGACTATGAAACGCATACTGAAACAGCAGAAACCACACAGCTGGTCGAGAGGAATGAGCTCCATCAAGTTGTGCACAGTAGAGTTAATCCATCGGCGACGCTGGGAAAGGAAGACTGCGAAGCTTTCTGGTGCGACGGTCCAGGCGTGGGAACGGAAGATATACTTGGTCTTGTACTTGGGGTGGAACTTGATGAGCAGGGTCGTCAAATAACGATCCTCACCAAGGTGGAGCAAGTTCTTCATGTGGAGAGTATCGACACGGATCTCGGAGTAGGCATCAACCACATCCTTGCTGACGAAGAGCGGCTTTCCTCCATCCGCTGCACGGACACGGTACATACTGAAACAACCGGGCAGACAAGTGACGGATCCGAACAAACTCTCAAAGGCCTTGGTCAGGTTGTGGGAGATGTAGTATTCGTAAACTTGGATCATGGTCACGATAGAGGTCTTTGCATTGGACAAGGAAGTTTCTCCACAGACACCAATGAGACGAGTATCCGAGATGAACGCTGAGACGAAACGAGTACCAGCATCCGGGGCAACCATAGTATCAGCATCAACCTGTAGAATGTATTCGTAGAACATTGGATTGACACCAATGATATTGCGAATGTGATGGTGCATCTCAAGCTCCATGGGGCTCATAGGCAGGTTGTAGTGGACACGGTTGAGGAAGCGCATAAGAACCATCTGAGAATCACGCTTTCCACGGTTACCAGGGCGGGACACTTCGGAAGGCTTTCCAACCTTCACGACGACGAGGAAAGGAACAATGTGACCCTGGACCTCATATAGACCGGAATAAATCTTTGCCATGTTGTGCTGCTTCATACCCTCGCCCAGACTCTCAAAGCTGAGAGGCTCGGGGTCCACGGATTCAGGAACACCCAGAATGTCAAGGACGATGCGGGGAGTAGGGCGGTCGTTGCCTTGTCCGATAATCATACCGTCGCAAATGACCAGCAAAAGCTTGCGCTTGTCATCGTAACGCATACGAGCCATGGAGTCCATGGCACGGCGCAGAGATTCTTCGTCTTCGGTATAGGCCGGCACCTGGCAAATGATGAATTTGTCCAAGTCCTCCGGAAGGTTTTTCTTTCCGAATTGGAGAGCAGCCAAAAACTTGAATAGAATGATGGAACACAGCATGATAGAGATGGCAAGAATGAAGTATCGCGCAAACTGACAGCGGACGGAGTCTCGAGTATCGACCTTGCCGATGAAGAACAAGTTGTCGAGACAAAGCTGCATTCTGGAGCGGAGCGCGGTATCAAAGTCCAAGTTATCCCAGTACTTGGTCACGTCCTGACCAGAGCGTCCTTGGAATAGATCGACAACCAGAGGGTCCATGTAGTCGGTATCGACATTGCTGCCATTCTTCCCGGTAGGGAAGCGGGCCACACGAGGCCCAGCGATGTAATAAGTCATGTCGTAAATCTTCCCATTGATGCTCGCGACGTTCTTGGAATCATCGGTGGCCAACTTCTTCATAGCTGTATTCGTATATCCAATGTATCCCTTTTTGTAGTTTGCGCGCATCATAACCATTTGCTCATAGAACCAATCGGCCCGAGAGTCGTTGGTCCAATAGCGGAAATCGTGATACTTGGCGTTGACATCGAAAGTAGTACTGGAGGTTGTCTCTGCAGAATCGTTCAAGTTTGATCGGTAGTCAAGTGGAACGCTAGGATCAACTTTTCCGGTGGTACCCTGGCACAAAGCAGAGACCTGGACCGGGAAAAGATTGGTGGCATCTGTGCCGGCATAGTTCTGCAACGACTTTTCGGGGACGATGCTGGGGTAGTGGGATGGGATGAAGTTGCCGAGATTGAAGACTACACCTCTAATAGCGACAAAAGAGTTTTGCCCATTCTTGCCGTTGTGACTGCTGAGTTCTGCAGTGTTGTAGACATCTTGAGTTGGACAGACCACACCGGGGAAACCGACAATCATGAACACGGCGACACCGCAAGCAAACCAGATAATAATGTTGATGGCGAGCTTCTCACGCCAGGCAACACGCACGTCCTTTCGCTTCATCCGACCAACGAATTTTATAACGAAATCGGGAATCCAGAACGTGAGCAGGTAAACCAAAAACATCCAGCGACGACGAGTGCCGGAGATGGTGGATTCGTCGACCTCCTCCATGTCCTTATTGTTGCCCTTCTCGAGCATTTGCTCCTTGGTCTCGAGATTGTGGAACATATCACCAGAGTTGAAGGCCGAGCCACCAGCGTCCGAGCGTCCATCGAGTTCACGGCTACCAAAGTAGCCATGCTTAGCTTCGTCTCCATAGATGAAGGCACCAGGGGATTGGTCGTTGGGATTCAGAAGTCGGACCTTGGAATCTGGGTTTCCACCAGAAGTCTGGAATCCGTCGCTATCGGCACCGGCAGTGCCATAGGTCGGGAATACACGCTCGCCGACCTTGGCGATGTCTGCCCAGCATCTTTCACTCAAGAAAACACCAGTGCTACCTGCCCGAGCTTCATTGCCGGGCCATCGCTTTTCGTCGAGGACGACCTCGGTCTTTTCTCTGTCGCTGCCGACGACAATATTTCCGATATCAGCCAAGCCAAGGAACTCTCCGAAAGGAAGGAAAACACTGTAATCGGCGTTCCGCAGCCGCGAGCTGATTTCGGCTATGCCGAATGTTTGAACCTGCATCCTAACACACTTGCTGTCGAACTGGTTGGCAATGCGGCGGTCATTAGGCTTGAGACAGATGATAAAGTAGGGGTTGAGGTTGGAGGAGCTCAAGCACTTGTTGATGACTTCCAAGCCAGAAAGAAACTGGCCAGCGGCTCCCTGAGCGGGACCAGAGAGCATGCCATTCTTTCGGCCAGTCTCCCGTTTGGAGCCCGCGACTTGGCTCTCATGCTCCTCCGTCTCATCACTATCGGCATGAGAGGGGGCGGCAAAACGAGATGGAGCACCAAGCTTGCGTCTAGCCATGCTGGGCATCCGTAGGGGCTTGGAGCTGACCTGGGCCTGCATAATAGCAGTCTTTTCTTGTGGGTGGGAGATGGTCTGAAGAGCCTCTTGGTGGAACAGCTCACGCACAAAGTCACTGCGAGTAGAGCGCATCAGGTTCATCAGATCACCAGAAATGACTTCGCCATTCTCCTCGATCAATCCAGTAACGGAGTAATCGATCTCACCCGCGAAATGCTTGACGGTGAAGGCGCTTCGGGATTGTGCCATGTAGCCCGTTCCGCTCGTGCTTCCAACGGAAATGGCGGGGTTTTTGTTCTCAAAGCGCTTGCGCACGCTCTCGATGAATTGGGCATCAGAGCGTCCACGCTTCGTCTGGTCATCCAGAATGCTCAACAAGCCGTTTCCATGCTTCAGGAGACCGCGCACGGTATCCGTGTTGTCGAAATAGCTGGTGGCAGCCACTGTGATCTCCTCCCTGTCCAAGATATCGGCTTTATGGTCGAAGAATGACTGAAGACAGTAGTTATAAAGCGACTCGGTTGCCGCGTTGCTCAGAAGTTGATCCAGGGTGGAGCCAGTCGCCGGGGCCTGGGCGAATCCGGGGAAGTCGACAATCGAAATCGTGTTGGCAATACTGTCCTCGGCCGCGCAAAGCCTCTGGTTAACCGTTTCAATCACATGGGTTACAAGAAGAGAGTAAATAGTGCGTGCAAATGCATCGGCGTTCTCTCGCGCGCCCTTGGGGTCCAACATCACCGTGACTCGCTCACGGTGAATGGTCTTGGTCCGGTATCCCAGACTGTTCTCCAGAGCGGCAACACTGAGACCCAGGAAAGCCGCGACATTGTCAAGAACATCCTTGTTCTTGACCACTGTGACTGTCTCACCACCCTCGTGGGAGTAGCCACCGCTTTCCTCCGCACCGGTGGTAGTCGATTGACCTGTCGCGAACTCCAACTGTCCGATGTGAAGGATACTAGCCAGAATCTGACAGATCTCGGCGATTTCACCGCGCGAGAACTCCAGCTTCCGCAGCGCAGTTTTGAAGTGCTGGAATCCATCCGTGTCATTGATTCCTACCTTCAACTGTGTTGGGTGACCGAGGTATCTCCAGCGCTTATGGCTCACACTGCTGCCAGATAACTTCCCAGTCTGGACATGAATGGCCGTGTCAAGTCCCAGATGGGACTTCTCTGCTGCGCTTGTTCCCGCTAGCAGATAGTACAACGCATGGAAACTTCGCTCTCCCGTAGGTACAGAAGAGATGCGGCTTCGCTCCAATCGGTAGTCAATGATCTTACCACCAATCAAAGTGGGATTCACGGAGGATGAGCCGTCATATTGCAGCTCGAGGAAGAGACCTGCTTTTGAGGCCGTAGGTGTAGTGACTGATTTTGTGGTTGTGAGGGTGTCAAAGACGAAGGCGGCGTATGAGAGTTTGGAGGATAGCGGAGTCGATGAAAAGGACAGGAACGAAGATAGCAAATGTGAGCGAAGAGTCGTCTTTCCGGATCCACTCTCTCCCCTGTGATTGAAGATTAGATACGATGAACCCTGTCATTTGTGTGGCTCCACTCACAAAAATACAATGGCCTGGTTCTCAGCGCGAGCACCCAGCCGAGTGAAGGCACGACGGGCGAGATCCTCCGCTTCGCCTGCAGCACTCCCCTCTTTTCCACCGTCCGGGCCCTTGGTAGCGGAGGAATATGTGTTCAGGGCAATGAGGGCCTGAGATGACAAGCGGGCAGTCGGTAAGCCAACGTGAAACCTAGCATCGGTTAGCAGTGTACCTGATTGATTGACGAGAATTGAGACCATACCGACTGGCGAGATGAGCTGTGAGGTGGGTATCAGACTGGAGATGGGCGGGGAGCGATGGCAGCGAGGACTGGGCATGTGCCGGGCCACTGCCAGCAAAAGTACCCGCCATCTTTGAATTCCCCTTCAGTTCTGAAGAATAAGAACAAGTGTAGAAACAATCGAGATGTCACGAAATCAAGGCGGTTGCTCGATACGCCCGCGGAATGAACGTGGGAGGAGGGAGAATGTGAGAGTGTCGGAAGCTTCTAGCGGAATGAAGGCCCCTAGAAACAGATCGAGATGGCAGACATGGGGATGAGATGTATAGGTGCACAGTGAACGAGTGTGGCTAAAGAAGAGAGTCGAGAGAGGGAAAAACGAAACAAATCGATAAGGTCTAGTACCATACATGTATTGCAAAATACTAGGCCCGCTAAGAATAGACATTGCATTATTTTATTGGACATGTCTCAGAACCCACTCTATTCCCATTATAAGTACATGCTTATGGTTCAGCTATTTGAACTAAGTTAACTATTGACACATACTATCAGGATCACATAACATAGGGTATGAAGTGGTATAAAAAAAATGGAAAAGAATAAGAAAAACAAAGGGGAAGAACAGGGGAGAAAAGCAAAGAAGCAGAGAGGAGATATTTCCCGCTAGGACGGATCAGGGTCTCAAGTATAGTTCTCCACTGATATGTATCCGACAGGAGAATACTTTGAGGGTCCAGAACCTGACATGTCAGTTTAGTCCCTGTCCCATTGACCTCCTTGCTGTCTGCAGGATATCGAATTCTAATAAGTTAAAAAAAAATAAGAGAAAGAAAAGAAGATGGGCAAAGAGCCCAAATAATGTAGCCGAGCATAACATAGGTCTGTAACATGTGCAGTCCAAAGTGGACCGATCGCAAGCTAGACTTGGAACCGTCTGAAACTAGGGGCGCTCGGCCTACAGGATTACCTGTAAAACAGATGACATTCCCGACTAACAATAGCCCGAGCTAGTCACACAGTGGAACACCTGAACAGTGGCAAAGTGATCATATGCAAAAAAAACCCGCCAAAAAAAAAGAGTGAGACATGCCAAATATAGCTGTGACAGTACCGAATACAGATCTGTTTAGGTTAATGCTTAATGCTCATTGGCTGGAATATACAAACTGTTCAGGGTGAAAGAGAAACAAACACACACAAATGGACATAAATATACATGAATTCATTGTAAATGAGCAGAAATAATTATATTTTCAATCCGAATACTAGCCAATTTACAACCCCTGGACTGTGTATTTATCAGTATCTGCCAGAAACTCAAAGCTTAGCTATACAGACTGGGGGGACGATCACGATCGCCGGTATTGCCGTAATTTTCAATTCGCCTTCTTTCTCCCCACAGCTCTCTCTCTCTCCCCATCTGTTTTCCTTTCTCACCTTCAACCTTCAGGAGTCCTTTCTCCAGCCACTCGCTCAACCTGTTTCTCAATCCGATCATCCTTCGACTTGCCTCAACTTGCCCATCTGACACCTGCGTTTTCTCGATCTCCCATCTCTCAGCCTCGGGACAAAACAGAAGCAAGTGCCCTCATGCAGCTGTGATAAAGCGTAGGCCAGACATCGTATCTTGCCTTGAAAATCACCCTCCGGTCACAGGTCCGTCATGTCGAACCGCTATTCGGTCTTCTCCACGCAGTCCGCCGGTCTTTCGGCCGGACCGCGACCACAACATGGGTCCCAAGTTTCGACAACAACCTTGCTGAATGCTTTGCATTCGTTCTATACCGCTGGCCAGCCATATCAACTAGACTCTGCTACCAGTTTGGTGGTGAACACATGGGTGACCGCGGCTACCACGTTACCTGATGGTCGGAATGGTGCCACCGTTGACCGTGATTTGGCCATCCGGGCTTGGGAACATGCCCGGCGCCGAGCTGAAGATGGCTGCATCGTCTTGGGGTATGTGACCTTCGCCGATGAAAGGTTCCTGTGCTAACATTGAACAGCGCTCTCCATCAATCCACCCCATCTCTGCTGGAACCGTTCCTCACATCAATCCCCGTTGAAACACCGGGGGTAGCGTTTACCGCACTCGGCGCCCTTCGACCTTTCATCACTGCAGTTACCTCTTTTAATCCTTCGTATTCCCTTCACTCTGCTTTGGCTGCTACATATACCTTGACTCTGCCAGGATCCGTCGTTGGCCTTTCTTTTGCCCTTTCCACCTCTGGCATCAATGTACGCAAAGGTCTTTTGGAAATCCAGCCTGAGACAGGCTATCGTGCATTCGATGCCTTCTATTATCTCCTCACATCCGCATCCACCGCCGCGGAGCGCGAATTCCTGGACTTGAAAGACCACTCTGCATACACCCTGCTCAACCGATCCAACACCTACACTCCTCCCTCCTACCTCCCCACAGCCGACGATGCTGCCGCTGCAGAAGATTTCCGTGCCTGTATGAAGGCCATTGGAATCAAAGGCGCTGCCCAACGTGGTTTGCTCTCCGTCCTCGCTGGTCTCTTGAAGCTCGGTAATGCAGCCGGGTTCGAGGTGGACCAAGAAGATCTGGAGGAGGTGTGCGAGGATGCCGGTGGTCTTCTCGGAATTGATCCTGAGATCCTCCTGCACAAGTGCTCCACTGATGAGCGGGAGGTTTTGATTGCAGGAATCTACGAAGCCCTCGTCGATTGGGTTATCACCAAAGCAAACGAAGCCATCGCGACCGATCTCCAAATTGCCTTGGAGGATGGTTCAGGCAACGGAGCGCAATGGTCGAATGACGACACAGTCAGTCTCACTGTAGTTGATGTTCCCCGACCCGCTCTGGCCAAGGCGATTATGATGAGAGGCGTCTTCGACGATGCCCTCGGACTCAACGCCGAGATGAAGGATGATGGAATCCCACTCCCACCCATCGGCGGTTCCGTCATCAGTGAAATGAACTCTGCGGTAGCGCAGGTGGAACCTGACCTTGGAATCACCACTGGTCCTGCCGGGAGAGAACGCGAACATGATCTCGACAAACGGCAGGGTGTTTTGGAAAAGGTTGGAGTGGAGCTTGAGGTAGATACTTTCCTCAGGCGCCTTCTCTTCCCCGTTGATACCGAAGGTATCTCTGTGGGCAAGCGGGGCCGATTCGACCTTCCTACCACACTCAACAGCAGTCGTGTGTGGTACCATCTCTCCCTCCACCCCACTGATGACATGCCAGAACAGCTCGCATCGGCCACTGGTCCTGCATGGTCCGCCGGTGCAGTGTCTCGTCAATTGCGTGACTGGCGTCTCCCAGAATGGGCCAACCGCCGCTTGAAGCAACTCGATTTCACCGCGGACTTCGATGTCGAGGAGTTTGTTGCTCGGTACGCACGACTCGGTTGTGCCGAGGGCCAGGACGGTGTCGAGAACTGGATCATTGAGAGAGGATGGAGCAATGGCGATGCCGTTGTGGGTGAACAGCGTGTCTGGATGCGGGAAGGTGCCTGGTGGGAGGCGGAGAGTATGCTGGATCTCAAGCCAGAGGAGGCTCCCATCAATCCTTTCTTGTATGGCCCTGCCATGTACGAAACGGGCTACACTCCCGAGGGCACTCCCGTGGGTGAATCAACCAACCTTCTTGCCATGCCACATGCCGGCACCATGGCACCCAGTGTCATGGGCGGTGCCAAGTCCGTTGCCCCCAGTGCGCCATACACCCAGGGTGCTGCTGCTGGCGGTGATTATGGACTCGGCCGCAAGGGTGATGACAAGAAAGGGGACATTGCATACTACGACGAGTATGGCAACTATATAGGTGAATACGACCCTGAGTTTGGTGATCCGAAGCACATTGAGAAGAAAACAATCACTGTGGGCCGTCAACTCTGGGCTGGTTTCGTCTGGGCCATGACCTTCTGGATTCCTTCCTTTGTGCTTCGATACGTTGGCCGCATGAAGCGCCCTGATGTACGCATGGCCTGGCGTGAAAAGGTCGTCCTTGTGGCCTTGATTCTACTTTTCAACGGAGTTGTCTGTTTCTATATTATCGCCTTCGGTGATCTCCTGTGTCCCAACAAGGACAAGGTGTGGAATGAGAAAGAAGTCGGCTGGCACACAACGGACAATGATTTCTTCGTCAGCATCCACGGCCGTGTCTACGACATCAGCAAGTTCTGGCGTCAACAGCACAGTGATATTACTGGAGAGGACACCAGTGCCTCAAACATGGAACCGTTTGCAGGCTTGAACCTGGATGCCTACTTCCCTCCTCCTCTCATCCGCTACTGTGCTCCATTTGTCACCGACAAGACTTTGACTCTTTCTCACAACAACACCGACGCAATTCTCTATCCCACGGCCGAGCACAAGTCGGGGCCTACTCAACAGCCGATCACAACTACAGCGCTTCACAAGATTACCTGGTATGAAGACGTTTTCCTGCCAAAGATCGGCGAGTATTACAAGGGTCCTTTGGTTTGGACCCGGAAAACTGTTCAGCAGCAGGCCAACGACGACGCTCGCTATTGGGTTATCGTGAACCAAAAGGTCTACGACCTGACGGACTATTTTCACACCCTCGAAGTGCAGAACAACCTTGCCCAATACAACTTCCTGCCATCGGCTGTCACCAAGCTCTTCAAGGAAAACATGGGTGAGGATGTCACCGATAAATGGCAGGACACAGCGGACTTCAAAAATGCTCAAACGTGTCTCGACTATGTGTTTTATCAAGGCAAAGTTGATTTCCGTGATACTCCACGCTGCACTGTGAACAACTGGATCATGCTCTCCTTCACCATTCTCATTTGCGCTGTCATCCTCGTCAAGTTCCTAGCAGCCTTGCAGCTGGGATCCAAGCGTCGGCCTACTCCCCAGGACAAGTTTGTCATCTGCATGGTTCCTGCTTACACCGAAGGTGAAAACGATCTTCGCAAGGGTCTCGACTCTCTGACTGCTCTGCAGTATGACAACAAGAGAAAGTTAATCTTCGTCATTTGTGACGGTATGATTGTTGGTGGCGGAAATGACCGTCCCACGCCGAAGATCGTCCTGGACATCCTCGGAGTTGATCCCAAGATGGACCCACCCGCGCTGCCTTGCAAGTCGCTCGGTCAAGGAAGTGAACAGCTGAACTACGGCAAGGTCTACTCCGGTCTTTACGAATACGAGGGTAACGTCGTGCCTTACATTGTTGTGGTCAAGGTTGGCAAGGAGTCTGAACAGCGGAAATCTAAGCCTGGTAACCGTGGAAAGCGTGACACCCAGGTTCTTCTCATGCAGTTCCTCAACCGTGTGCACCATCGTTCACCTATGTCTCCTCTCGAACTGGAAATCTTCCACCAGATTAACAATGTTATCGGCGTGGATCCGGAGCTGTACGAATACTGTCTCATGGTCGATGCAGACACCACTGTTAGAGAGGATTCTCTCAATCGTCTGGTTGCTGCATGTGCGGCAGATGCTAAAATTGCCGGTATTTGTGGTGAGACTAGTCTTCAAAACGAGGAACGTAGTTGGTGGACCATGATTCAGGTTTACGAGTACTACATCTCGCATCACCTGGCCAAGGCATTCGAATCGCTTTTCGGCAGTGTTACTTGTCTTCCTGGATGGTAAGTCTCATTCTCTTTGTTGACCAACTTATGCTAACAATTGTAGTTTCACCATGTACCGTCTTCGCACTGCGGACAAAGGACGCCCTCTTATCATTTCGGACAAAGTCATTCATGACTACGCGGACAACGACGTGGATACGCTCCACAAGAAGAACCTACTCTCTCTTGGTGAGGATCGATACCTGACAACTATCATGACCAAGCATTTCCCAGCCATGTCGTACAAGTTCATTCCCGATGCCTATGCCAGTACAGCTGCACCCGAAGCCTGGAGTGTGCTTCTGTCACAGAGACGTCGCTGGATCAACTCGACAATTCACAATCTGGTCGAACTGGCATACCTGAATGATCTCTGCGGTTTCTGCTGCTTCAGTATGCGTTTCGTCGTTCTTGTGGATTTGCTAGGAACTATCATCCTTCCCGCCACTTGTGTCTACCTTGGTTACCTGATCTACCGTGTCGCCAGTCACACAGGACCTTTCCCTATGATTTCAATCGTCATGCTGGCTGGTGTGTATGGTCTCCAGGCAATCATCTTCATCGTCAAGCGGCAGTGGCAGCACATTGGATGGATGATCATCTATCTTATTGCGTTCCCGATCTACAACTTCATCTTACCCCTGTACTCCTTCTGGAAGCAGGACGATTTCACATGGGGTAACACCCGTGTCGTCATTGGCGAGAAGGGTGACAAGCGCGTTATTGCCGTGGAGGACGAGCCATTCGACCCTCGCAGCATTCCTCTCCAACGCTGGGACGACTACGCCTTGGCGAACAACCTCCCCGGCCGCCGTGGTGACCTCGGAGCCAGCCAGGAGAAGGTATACTACACTGGCCGGTACGACGACATGGCCATGGAGATGGATGACATGCACTCGCAATACTCATCCGTCAAGCCAGCATCCACAATTTTGACCGGTTTCCCCGGTCAAGGCCGTCACCAGCCATACATGCCTCCCCAGTCCCCCGCCCCCTTCGTCGGCGGCAACGTCCCCGGAAACGTCCCCGGCAACCGCAACTCGCACATGTCCAATTTCTCCCGGTACACGGATATGCCGCAAATGAGCGCTCAGATGGGTCACTCTGCCTCGGCATCGCGGCACATGTCCATGGGCGGTCTCAGCGCTTACCAGGATAACCCAGCCAACGCCAGCCGCCACAGCGTCGGCCTGGGCCAAAGCACTGATAACCTCCTCGGTGGTATCTCCCGCTCTCGCAGTCCACTGGGTCAATTCCCGTCCCGCCCTGCTAGCACCGCCTTCGATTTCCGTGCTGGCGGCGGACCCGACGAGGGTTCCATCACCGAGGCGATCCGGGGTTGTCTGGCAGAGGTTGATCTAGACACCGTCACCAAAAAGCAGGGTAAGTCATTACTTAACGTCCTTTCCCCAACATAAAAAAAGGTCTCACTAACAAATTCTCCTCTTCAGTCCGCGTCCTCGTCGAACAACGCCTGCAAACCTCCCTCACGGGCGATAAACGAGCCTTCCTGGACCGACAGATAGACCAGGAATTGGCCAACATGTGATTACTATCTCCTTTCTTGTAATATGCAATCTGCATCCTCATCACTCCGCATATGTCTCTGTCCCTATCTCTGCTTTTCTTCGGAGTTTTCCGCTCTCGGCATGTTTGGAGTTCCTCATTCGGGTTTGGGTTCTCATTTTTTTCCCTGGGAAGCATTCAGCGTCATCGACCTTTTCTGCCCTTACTAGTCTTACATTAATGGGAAATATGTTCTTAGCGGATTAAAATGTATTTAAATGGTCATTGTCCAATTGATTTTGGTTGTGGATTCCTTGCAGTATTTCTATCATAAATGCCACTATAATTAGATAGAGAGCATACATTGAAGCCCTTATATGTTTAGATAAGTAGTCAGAGTACTCTAGGCACTAGAAGTGGGTGAAAAATGAGAAGCAGAAATAGAGCGAAAACAATGCATGAAACGGTATACGCGCTTTGGGGTTGTCTAGGTGGATTTGGTTAAGTGACAGTCCAATACTTCACAAGCGGCACTGCGTACAAATTAAAAGTTAACCCTTGTTGTATGAATCAGCAGAATATGAATATTTCTCTATCTTGATACTCTAACCCACGTTCCACACTCCCAACCTACTTCCGGTGCACAACATGCTTATACTGATCCAACAACTTCCTCAAACCCCTCGAATGATGACTAGTAACATGTCCATAATAATGATCCTTCGCCGCATCCATAATAGCCTTCACCTTCTCCGCGGGTACCTTGTCTTTGCGGTCATAAGTGTATAACCCATTAACCTCCTGCTCGATATCACACCTGTGCTCGTGTTAGCATGAGCCCTTTTCGACATTTAACGCACCCCAACCCCAGCCCCAAAATATAAAACATAAATCCACAAAAAGAATAATAAGAAGAAGAAGAAGAAGAAGAAAAGAAAAAGAAAAAGAAAACCCACAACTGCGTCCAAACCAACCCACAAACGTGCCCACCCCTCACAACACCCATAACCAATTTCTCAAATCTCACCAAGAAATCAGCAGGGTCACTTGCAGTGGTATACCCCCAATCCCGCTCGCCAGCCTCCGCAGAATCCTTCGGCGGGGTGATATTCACACCTCCGAACTCACTACAGATGACCGGCGCACCGGGTATGTGTCTCGCGCCCTCGTCTAGAATGACGGAGCCGGAGTAACCGCTGTAGATGGGTGGTGCGAACATTGCGTGTCCGCCTTTTGGGCCTAGGATTCCGCCCATGGTGGCACATGTAGTTGTCAGTTCTGGGGAGTCGCTGTAGTCGTGGAAGGTTGTTAGGTCTGTTTTTATATGTTCCCAGCCGCAGTTGTCGTTTATGGGACGGCTTGGATCGAGGTTTCTAGGTTTCTGTTAGTTTGCTTTCTGATATGGATATGGATCAGATGAATGGATGGGATGCGATCATACTTCGTCAGGTAATACAGTGCGCGAACATGATTCCGCTGCTCGATATTATCCTTCAGCGACGAAACAGCCCAGGACTCATTGACCGGTGTCCAGGTAACGATAGATGGGTGATTGATATCACGCTTAACAGCTTCAATCCACTCGCTCGTGAACCGCTCGACATATTCACCTCCGAACTCATACGCATTCGCCATCTCACCCCAGACGACGAAGCCAAGTCGATCGGCCCAGTAGTAGAATCGGGGATCCTCGACTTTCTGGTGCTTGCGACAGCCATTAAATCCGATTTTCTTGGCTAGTTCAATGTCCGTCTTCAACGCTTCGGATGATGGAGGCGTCAGTCCTGTCTCGGGCCAGTAGCCTTGATCCAGGAAAAGCATTTGGAAGTAGGGCTTGCCATTCAATCGGAATGTGCCGTCACCCGTTTGCCAGGACAGACTTCGCATGCCCGTGGTCGTTTCGACTGTATCGACCAGATTACCTGTGCTATTGTAGAGTCGGAGTGTAATATCATAGAGGATAGGATGTTCCGGAGCCCAGAGCGCCACACCCTCATGCCAGACACCAACCTCATTGAACGGTTCCCGACTCTGCAACTCGGCAGCATTAGGCACCTTCATACTCAGATCCAGCGTGGCGATATCCTGATCCCGAGGCAGCTCGGCCTCACCCTTGCTAACAAACACTCCGCCAAGTCTCGCCTCGACCTCGACCTTGGCTGCGAATTTAGAGCCAACTCGTCGTCCGAGAACGCCAACCCGGGCGTGCAACACCCCACCATCGACATCGTCGGCCCGTAATACCGTCCCACCACTCCCACACGCTAATCGCATAGCAGGGACACTCTCCAGCCAAACAGAAAGCCAAATCCCACCCGATGGCGTGTAGAAGATACTCTCGGGAACAGGACCCCAGAACTGTTTGCCTCGTGGCTGGGTTAGGTCATACGGCGAGTCTCTCACTCGGAGCGTGAGACGAGCTTCCTTTCCAACTTCATCGCCGTCACCGAATGCATCGGAAACATCCACATCGAAGGGAACATGCCCGCCCCGATGTCCACCGACGAAATGCCCATCTACCCATACCTGACATTCATAATCGACCGCACCGAAGCGGACGAGGAGTCTGTGTCCCTTCGCCTTTTCATCTGCGCTGCGGATATCAGTGATCGTCCGCTCGTACCACATTACCTCGTGGGCTTCGTAGAGGTTTATGCCCGAGGCTGGGGTTTGGAAGGCGTAAGGCACTTGGATCTCGCGTTTGGAGCTGGTGTTGTTTAGGCTGCTTTTGTGCCATTTTTCGGTTTTGCCGCTGTCTGCGTCGTCAAATGTGAAGCTCCAAGGGCCGTCGAGGCTGCTCCAGTTTAGGGGAGTTCGTTGGAAGTCTGGCCGGGGGTAGGTTGCCATTTTTGAGGGATTTGATATTGATATTAGGGTTGGGTTTTTAGGGGCTATGGTTCTTTGTTTAATGGAGGTTTTGTTTGGGTGAAGTGAGCGTCTGGAGGGTTGCGCGTTCGTTTTATGTAGTTTGGCCCCACGTCAACGTCACTCGTGGGGTTGAAGATCTCGGGCCGGGTTGAGGCCATTGCATGACCATATGGTGTGTGTATTCTATCTTGGATCTGGATAGAAATATTCTGCTCGGTCGACTAAAGACTAGCCAGGATTGGCTAGTGAGGCTCAAACAAGCTCTTCCCCGGCCCCATACTGTACTCCGTAGCTTCCAGCTAGGGCTAGCTACTCCGTGTACTGTACTGTAGAATCTAATGGCAAAATCTCATTGATGGGGGGATATCAAAAGATTTAAACAAACTATGGGAAACTCCCAAATCGGAAGTCCCGATCCGAAGATCAAGAAATTCAGACTATCCAATTCCTCCGACAAATGCGCATGTAAAAAGACAAATCTCAAGCGGAATCATATAGTCCAACAGGACGACAATTGCCGCTCTATCGCAGATCTTGGATATCTCGTTTTCTTTTCTGACGCCTTCATTGCTTGCGTTCCGTGGTATCAATCAACAAATCGGACAAAAAAAAGACAACCGGAAAGTAAAATCACGCTGGGAATAAAGAAGCACAAAACAAAACATAGAACAAACAACTCATGACCAAAAAAGGGTATACTGCTGCGAATGGATATTTTGGGTTTAACGCGGTGGCCCAATTGGGGCCGGGTATCCAGAAGTAGAATTCGATGTGCTAGGACGACCAGAGTCGAATGAGGTGCGCAGGTCATGCTTGGGGGTCATGTCACCAGGCGCGGTGCCGAAGGGGAACTTGGCGTCGAAGCGGGTGGGCCAGCCATTGCTGTTGCTGGACTTATGGCTGTGCGAGCTGCCGAGGACGGGCAAGTCGTCCTCGGCGAGGTTCACGCCGGAGTCATTCCATGGGTTGCGGTAGCCGCTGTCGCGAGACTCCATGGAGACGAGCGAGGCCTTGGAGGCATTGCTCGAGGCGTGTTTGAAGAACGATCCCGGGGAGGCGGAGTGGTTCTTGCGGCCGATGAACGAGGAGAAGGACGAGATACTTCCGGGTTTGCGGAGGCGCTCGAAGATTGAGCCTCGCTCGCTAGTCTCATCGGAGAAGTTGGGGCGGGTTGGCGAGTCGGTCGAGAGGGGCGCCGGGGCGTGTTGCAAGAGCTTCGAGTCGAAGAAGGGCAGAGACTCTTCGAACGAGTCGGATTTGGGCCGAGGGATCGCACCCTTGACGGTGTTGGCATCGAGTCCGTGACCAACCAGACGGGAGATCAAGAAGTCGATGGCATCCTTCAGGCCACCAGCGTTGTTACGCGTGTAGCCGAGGACGACGCGGTCCTCGGGTCCGGGGGTGGGCGAAGAGGAGCCTTCTTCCTCAGGAGTGGTAGGCAGATCAGCACCAACATCAACGTTGATATCAACCTCGTATTGTTCCTTGAGCTTGGTCCGAACATCGGCAATGAAGTCTACGGACTTGAAGTAGTCACGAAGTTCCACCGAGCTCTGGAAGTGAAGTTCGTGGCTCTCTGGTACCATTCCAAGCAGAGCATCGACCGCTTGAGGGACCTGATACTCGGGGCCGGAGATGGTCACCACGTCGCTGGCAAGCTCGGTGCTCGGGAATTCGATCTTGCAGTTCCATTTCTTCTCCAGCTCGTCGATCTCAGTCATGCGGGCCAACAGCTCACGGTGGTACAGACGGTTGATAACGACTCTCTCGGAGACGTATTCGGCATCAACCTTCTCGACCATATCCATGATCTCCTGCTTGACAAGGTCCAGGCTCTGAGCGTTGCGAGCAGGGGTCCGGCAGATAACGTTGTCAACCTTGATGTCATCATCTTCCTTGCCCATACCACCACGGTCCATGGCGTTGGAGAACTTCACGAAGACAGAGTACTTCTTCATGATGCGCTGGATATGCTGTCCACCAATTCCGATGATCCGCTTGTGGTACTGGTCCGGCACATGGAAGGAAATGGAAGCAGGCATCTCCTGCTCCACCAGATCCAAGCCGTTCTTAGTCGACTCGTACTGGTTGCCGCACACGTCAATGTAGAAGTTGTACTCGTTGAAACCGTCAAAGATGATCTGGACGTTGCCTGTATGCGAGTTAGCAACACACTCCATACGTAGATTCCTGAAAGTACTCACTCTGTCCCATGATCTTGTTAATCTTGCCGTTCTTCTTGCCGCTGACAAACTCCTTGTGCTCGTTGGCCAGCTCAATCTTCACACGCATCTGGTATTGGCTGCGCATCACGAAGGGAATCTGGTTGATGACCGTCATGGCAGCCTTGACTGCATCATCAGAGCCGTTGATCGTAAAGGTCAGGTTGTCAAAGCTGACCTCCGCTTCGGAGTTCGTACAGATATCCGATAGCATGGAGCGGATGTCGGCGGTCGATGGAGCACGGAGACCACCTTGCGCGGGATCCGGCATGATGATCCACCATGAAGCAGAGTAGAATTGACCGGCCTAGACAAATATTAGCAAGTTCCACTCCAATGTTGTGGCACCACGCACCAAGGCCATAATCTCTCTGACGGTCCGCTCGACGTGCAACACCTCGGTACCTTGGATCCGAACAAGTCCACGCTGGCTGCCCAGCTGAGGGAACAAAACGTAAGACCCGTTCATCTCCATGACTTTGCGGACCTTGTCCAGACGGTCGAGCAGGATGTTGTCGATCTTGCTTGAGCTGACAACCACATCCTTGACAAAAATCTTCACTCCCATCACCAGCTCCCGCAGCTTCTGCTTGGCACGAGCAATTTGCTCTGGCGTCTCGCCAGTAATATAGACCTCGTCCTCGCTTCGACGATTCGCACCGGGAGGTATATAACCGAAGATCTGGGGGAAGGGGGGAGGGAAGTAAATAGCGGTGCCGGTAGCAGCTTCAATAAGCTTAATGTTCTTGCGAGTACGACCGCAAACCAAAGTGTGCATGGTCGAGTCCAGTTTAATGGCGTCCACATGGCGTTTGAGCTGTTCTCCAGTTAGCTTGTCGACCTCAGGATTCCCACACACAAGACGTACAATTTGATCGATCATGATCAGCACCCGGGTTTTGGCATGTTCCGAGCTCTCCAAATCACCGTATATAGCGACTCGGAAGCGCTGGTCCAGTCCGTTATCCGACGCATATCCATAGGAAGAAACCACAGCACTGTCCGCATCGTGGAGCTTGGGTGTGAGCAGGAAAATGTCGGCCCCGGTGTAGGCAGCCAAGGTGTCCATGTGCTCGAGGACACTAGCTCGGATACCCTTGGGTGATCCATCCACAATAAGATGCATATCCACGTCGACAGTCGCACATCGCTGTTCCACCGGTTAGTTAGCAAGGATGTCTGTGGAGCTGAAAATCTTGCCAGTGCCTCAACCAAAAAAATTCATCCACGTACCAGCATGATTGGGGTCTCGTTCAAGATTCTGGCACGCATCTTGCGCGCCATCTCCCCATCTCCGGTGACACACACGTTGGTCACCAAGCCGTTTGGTCGGCGTTGTAGCGAAGGCACAGCCTTGGCCTCGGAGGTCGTAAGCGTTGCTTCCACTCGGCCTCCTTTCTCCTCCGTGATCTTCCGGCATAGCCTCTGCAGACCTTCGACGTTGTTCGTATGGACAGGGAGCTGGTGCACGGATGTGCCTTCTGGGGTGCCTTCGGGGAAGGTCCAGCGCTGGAGAGCGCCGGGACTGGCGTGGAGCACGTCCTCTACATCGGGACCGGCCAAGGTTGATGAGAAAGGGACGTTGAAGGACAGATTGACGGTGGGATCGATGCTCGTCGGCGGCGTCATGGGCGGTGCCCCGTGTGGTCGGCGAAAGGCCATGTCGGTGTGAGGTCTGGACATCCCGAAAGTCGGCGTCATTCGTTCCCAACCATGCCGGGCTTGACCCGTAAAGTTGGAGATCTTGTGCATGACCAGGGTAAGATCTCTAACCCCTTGAGCAAGTCGAGGGGATAGAGAGGGTGGATGGGGTTGGGGGAAAGAGAGTGGGAAGAAGGCCGTTCTCGACAGGGATGGGAATGGCCAGTGTGGGCGTTTCGCGGGAATGGTGGAAACCAAGATCGGGCCAACCAACACCTTCTAGACCGAACACAAAAGGAATAGTATAGGAATTAGGTGGAAGAGGCTTGAAATACGAATAAATACAGATAAGTAAATGCAAATAAGAATAGGTAGAAATCAGAATGGAGAAATCAAGCCAGTACGGGTCTACAATACTTTGCTCTATCACCTGGCTATAAGTCTATACGTCTAGTTAACGACAGTCAAATTAAGCTGAGTATACAACAGTTCACTACTTGATTATTACATTTCAGCCCAATACCCAACGGTTGCCAGAGCAGAGAGAGAATGGCACTCGCAAGGGTCTTCTTGGCACTCACTCTAGCGAGCGTCACGTGATCCTACAGGAACAGCTCAGCTGAACAGGACTGGCTGATCCTCTTGCGCGTCCTCCCAGGCTGTGCAAGACATTGGCCATAACTTATCCATACCGTGCCCAGGTGTAAGCCCGGTTTTCAGGCACTGGCCAGATCGGGATCCGAGTCATTCCGTAATACGCGGGTTGATCCTTTCATAGGCTCCGGGACAAAGAACCCTGTATGCCTCCGTACTCCCGATCCACTGGCACTTGGGCCTGATAGGGCACCTTCATACACCGGCTGGACCGGAGGGAACTGAGGCATGTGGAGCTTGGATGCTGATGCCTAGACACCTTTGGCTGTGGACTCGGGGCACTCCGTCGTGCATCCGGTCTCCATAGGGGTTCCTGTAGGCGTGTGCTGAGCTACAGTATAAGTGACAAATGTACTCTGTACATGTAGGGATGCACATTGCCGACCCCCTCAAGTAGTCGACGTCATGCCCTCGTATAGACGTAGTGGGTCAAGACACATTTGACGCCTCGAAATGAATTCCGACTGGGTGGACCGTGGAGTCGTGTGTTTTGAAACCAGACTGCATTTGCTCCCGTCCCCCGGTTTAATGAAGGTTGAGGGGAGAAGACCAACTGTTACGGGTATAGTCTCCCCTCGAATCCAGTCGCCACTATCTTCACTTTTTTTGGTACTTTTTTTTGTCGATCATTTTAGCCAGTTTTTGATATTTGCCAGCAGGATTGGTCAATATATTAATTCTATGCCTTGTTCTGGGCAGGAAGTGTACTTCCAAGTCATCCACCGGCATCACGTGATTGTGTCGACGGTATTGCGTCAGTCCCGGAATCTATGATGTTGACTAACTTATAAAGTATGGTTTGATGTTTAATGAAGCTAACAGAATAATAAAGAACGAGGAAAGACAGTTCTGGAGCGTGAGGTATACCAATTATTCAGATCTCATTGAAATAATATATATCTGAGTTTAAGTCGCATAAATAGCTATTTTTCATACAATCGGCTACATTAATTGAGCTAGAATTGCACCGTATATTGCTAAATGACCTTCATATATGCACATTGGTATTAGAAACCATCGGAAGTACACACAGAAACTGCATAAAAGCGTGACCAGTCTACATGCTGCAGATACATACTGAGTTGACTATATCACTATAGTTATACCCTCGGTGATCGAATTTGAAATTTGTGGAAAGTCTAAAACCCTTGTATATACTTCATTACTTTTGTCTAACCAGCACTAGGACAAGTGTCAAGGACATATGCATCTATATGTACCGGACTTTCTGCGACTGGTGGGGTTGCTTCTAGAACCATTGAATTGACCAATGGTCTCATTGACAGCCGTAGACTAGAGACTACTTTAACAGAACAATAGATTTAAGACATTGAAGGTCTGCATCGCTTTTGCTTGGATTGCTTTTGCTTGGATATGAGCCGCTCAAGAACAAATTCAGGTACAAAATCAGGAAATGCCGTGCAAAGAAACTCAGGGCGCAAGACGCTACTGATAATGCCGAACTCGCTGAACCGTATCATTTGCGCCATCCAATGCCAGATGGTCTCCCCCTTCGCCTTCACCGTCATAGTACCGTCTGTCTCGGATGTAGTACGGTCTCTCGACGTACTCCCCCAACGGCCTGTCTTCCATGAAAACACTGACCTCACGACCCGGGATAGATGGACGCACGCTCCCAACTCGCTGGACGACTTCATGCGGCTCCTCATATCGAGGCTGTGGAGGACGAACACTGGCTGTTCGAATGACTCTCTCTTGGGGCACTCCGCGCTCATCGAGGTAAGCTGGGTGGCGAGGGGGGAGGTACTCTACTTGAACGCTGCCGCTGCGTGAGTAAGGCTCATGGCCTTCCAGTGGAGCTGCGTAGGGTTGTCTCTCGTGAGCAACGGGACGAGCATAGTCTGATGTGACTCGCCTGTAGATTGGCTGGGGCGGGGGCATCTCCTGTACATAGCGGCGTTCAACGTATGGATCCTGGACAACCGAGGGCGCGCGAACACTGGCAGTGCGGTGGGGAACTTGGTCCTCGTAGATGTTGGCTTTCGACATTTGAGATACGGGTCGCGGCGGGGGAGCCATTGGCTGGTATCTTGGTGCTGGGAGTATCTCATAGTACTGGTTGCCATGCTCATCATACACGATCCGACGCTGAGGTGCCATGACCCGTGGCGGTGGCGCCTCTTCGTAGTAAGGCTCCCGATAGGTTGGTGGTGGCATGTCATCCACAGGGATGTAACGGTGCTGGGAGTAAGAAGGGGCTTCGTCGTAATACCTGGGCCGCTCTTGGACCGGGCGTTCCACAACATACGATGCTGCCCGAATTGGACGTGGCTGGGCCTCGATGTACTCACGAGGATAGTCTGATTGCCGAGCATACTGTAGACTGGCGACTCGTCGAAGATCTGCATCCTCCCGAATTGGCCGTCTGGTGCTGAGTCGAGAGATTGCGCGCGGAGGCCCTGAGTCCGGTGGAAGTTCGTGGTACGGATCAACTTCGTACACCGGTTCTCGAATTGGCGGACCACGACCTTCGTACACTGGTGCGTATTGCGGAGACGCGATATCAATGTAAACGGGGCGCTCTTGTGGGTGTCGACTGCGAACAGTGGTAGGGTCGTCTGCAAAAGGCGGCGGAGAGACAGGCTCCTCTTTGATGTATGTCTCCACAGGCTCTGCATTTCTTGTCCTGTAAGAAGCCTGGCGGGATTCTTCACCACCTTCACGGAGTCTGCGCCGTTTGCGAGACATGATGACTGGGGTTGGTACATCGGCTGGTACGTTTGGACTGCCGCGAGCAGAATCAGGATCTGAGTATGTTTGATCGGATCCATGTTCAACTCGTTCATCGCGAAGTTGCTGAACAGGAGGAACCTTGGCTGTAGCAAGAGGCGACACGCGAGATGGTCGGGGAGCTGCCGGTGATGTGATGTGGTTTTGAACCACCCTCACATTTGCAGGGGATGGAGGCTTGCGGGGGCCACGGGATCGATCGATGTATCTACCATCTGGTCTGAGTTGTCTTCCACTTTCTATCTCACGAGGATAGTCGCGAGCTTCTGCCAGGGGCGCCGCTGGAGCAGGTGGGGAGTACTCGGAATCATCTGCGGTCTCAATCTGGAGTGACTCGCGGTACTGGTTGGGATCCTCTGCTTTGTGGTAGCGGGGTTGATTCTGAGAATACGTGGGACGCTGGTCAGAAACATGGTAAGCATCTTGCATTTCCTGATCAGATCCCGGCTGGTTCAGAGCTTCAAGTCGCTGCAACTCATCTGGATAATGGGTTACTGGGCCATGCTGAGCAGGGCCTGCTGGTGGAACAATAGCCACAGGGGAAGATTTGTGTTGCCCGCCGGGCTGCAAAGGCGAATCAGGAGCTCTACTGGAGTAATAGGAATTGTTGTCAAAGTCGCTTGTAGGACCATCTGGGCCACTGGCCTCGGACGAATCGCTCAGCGAGACAGGTTTCACCACTTCAAGGGCTTGTTTGAAGACCTCCGAGACATCAAACTCGGGCTTCGTGTCCTGGACAGCAGTTTTCTGCTTGATCTCCATCCTCCTCAACTCCACTTGATCACGCAGTTGTCTCTCCACTCTCTGTCTTTGTAACTGTAGTTCTGCTCTGACCAAATCATCCGACTTGGTCAAAAAGATCGGATCAATCTCAGATGTAGGTTTTGAAGCCACGCGGGCAGACTGTGTTGCTGCAGATAGGGCATTTCCAGCCGGGGTACTGTGCGAGCTATTGTAAGGTTGATTGGTGGTCTCAAGTGAAGGTACCTTCTCCGTGGCAATCCTCGACGGTGTCGATTTAGGTAACTGAGTCCGAACAGGAACAGTTTGGCCGTTGCGCGATCCAGATTTGCGCACGAGGTGTTGGGGGACCTTGAGCCGGGGATGAGAGCCCGAGAAGATTTCATCACTGATGGTCAGGATTTTCTCGTACTCCCGTACCTCATCGCCTGGTAGCGGTGCTGAAACTGCCATCGGACCTGCTGCAAGGTGAGTTGCTGTCCCATGAGCTGGCATGACTGAAGGGAAGCGCCTGGGGGAAGGGAGACGGTCGAAACCGAGAAATCGGCTGAGAAGCTCTGAAACTAGTCTCAGATAACTCCAACTGCCAACGCAGAGCACGTGAGATATTCACGGCTCAGTTCCTACAGAGAAGAGAAGATCTGAGAGTTGGAAAAAAAACAGCAGCAAATGAAGGGTTGCAGCGAGTCCACGATGTTTTCCGGCGCTAAGTCCGATTAGGTAAACATCACGGGGCGATAAGGAGGTCTACTTCGACCTTCACTTCTCTCTCTCTCTCTTTCTTTCATGTATCGTCTGTTTGTGCCTCGGGTTCTTCGACCGGTGACTGTCTCTAGATTCTCTCCTGCATTTCTGCCTCTCCGTTATTGCAATTCCAGATCGATGGCGACCAACGGCGCAAATGGAGTCGGTGACTCTCGGCCGATCTTCTTCTTCGATATTGACAACTGTGTAAGTCAATGAAA